GCTCATCCTTCAGTCCATCTGTCTGCCTGGCTGTTGCGCACGATTCCTCTCGAAGGGAGTTCCGATTTGATCCAAACTTGATACATTGTAATATTATTGTCAAACTTAGGTCGTGGTCGGAGATGGGCAATATCGGTCCACTCCTTTTGGTACATCCGCCAAAAAAGGTCGAAATTTTCAAAAAATATATATATATATATTTTACTGCAAAGAAAGAGAAAGGATAATCCGATTTTGCTCCAACTTGCAAATCCTAATATTTGCATCAGTGGTAGGTCCGGTGCGAAATGGGATATATCGGGTCAAAACTTTTAATAATTATAACTCATAAAATGTGATGTAAGTGCCCCATTTTCTTCAAATTAAACTCCTCGCAATATTTTCATTAACCCAAGATCTGCTATGAAGATGGGATGTATCGGTCCACTCCTTCTGGTACCTCCCCCACAAAGGGTCAAAGTTTTGAATAAACAAAACGATCATAAAATCCGAAATTAGCATCCTGTTGCCTTCATACTTTACACATCCCATTATTTCCACTAACACAAGATCTGCTGAGAAGATGGAATATATCGGTCCTCTCTTTCTGATATCTCCCCTACAAAGGATCAAAATTTTGAATATTCATGAAGCTTATGAAGCCCAAAATAAACATCCGATTCCATTCACACTTGGCACATTTCAATATTTGCATCAACACATGATTTGTTATAAAGATAGTACAAATCGGACCATTCCTTCTGGTACCTCCCCCACAAAGGGTCATACTAAAACGATTATAAAATTCGAAATAAGCATTCAGTTCTCTTCATATTTCACACATCCCATTATTTCTACTAACACAAGATCTGCTGTGTAGATTGGATGTATCGATCCACTCCTTCTTATACCTCCTTCACATAGGGTTCAAATTTTTGAAAAACAAAACACTCAAAATTTCGATCAAATTTCACACTTACAAACATTTTTGCTAAGACAAAACCTGGTGTGAAGATGTTATATATCTGCGAACCCCTTCTGGTACCTCAACCACAAATGGTGACAATTTTCAATTCATTTATCTGCCATATTTCTCTCAACCAAAAACCTGAATTGAATACGGAATTATGATTTGATTTTCTTGTAATTTTGTCCAATACCAATATTTTTATTTAGGTCCGATACGAAATGGACAATATTGGCCCATTGCTTCAGAACCCTATCCATTTAGGATCAACAATTTCAATAATCATAACAAAAGTCACAATATATTTTTATATAATCGAGCATTTGATGAGGGTATACATCTGTCAGCAAAACCGACTGATACGTTTTAACTTCTTAAAATTATTTTGACCAAAAATGTCAAGATTTCGAGTTGAGGATTTTTCAAGAATTTTCAAATATCTTAAATTCTGTATTTTTAAAAAAATGTTAAATTTTCATTTTCAAAATTATTATTTTTTTTTCAGAAACAATTTTCCAATATTGCCGCCAAAGTCTGTTGTATGCCAAGGGGAAAAGTTATATCTATTATTTCTTAAGAGCACCGATTTACAACATCACCACGGCGGAAGATGCAGCCGAGCTGTTTCAGAGTACCACGTTGTTGGATAAATCAGTGATATATAAATACTTGATACCATTTTTGGGTGATGGTTTATTGATTAGTTCGGGTATGTATTATGCATCGATCCGAAATTGAAATATATCAAAAAATGCTCATTTTTTTGTTTTTTTTTTTTTTTTTAAGATCGCAAATGGTTCAATCGCCGCAAATGTTTAACCCCTGCCTTTCATTTTAACGTTTTGCAGACATTTAATGATATATTCAAGTAAGTATGAAATATATTTTTAAATTTGGCTATTATAAATGTTTCAAAGTACTTTCTCGAGGATTTAAATTCTTTGTGGATTTTTTTTTGTCAAGAATTAAAGTATTGTAAAGACGGTTTAAGAAGTTTCGAGGTGACCTAAGGGTTTCTGGCCGTCCGTCTGTCTGGCTGGCTGATACGATAAATAACTCTCGATGTGAGAATTCGATTCGTTCCAAACTTGATACATCTTAATATTATAATAAAATATAGATCGAGTTTGGAGATGGACAATATCGGTCCACTCCATCTGGTACCTCCAACAGAGGTTTAGTACTTTCTTTTTTTTTTAATTTTTTAGTCATCTATATATATATAAAAGACTAACTGAGAGTCAACGTTCAGACGAAACCGCTGAAGCTAGAATCTTGAAATTTTTTTCGAGGGTTATTCTTGGTGCGTAGGAGTGTGATAAAGCTGGGTTTTTGGAAATTCGTACTAAAAGGGTACGAAAAGTACTAAAAATTGAATTATTTGTACTGGTCAAACGGAATGAGCTAGAATTCTGAAATTTGGAATGAGAGTCACTGATGGGGAGCAGGATTTTTGGAAATTCGAACCTAATGGTTACGAAAAATTTTTAAATGGCACTAAGCTTCTAATATGGTACCGTTTGGTATTGTGTGAACGGATAGGCCTAAAACTTGAAATTTGGTATGAGAGGTTTCGAAAATATGTACTATAATTGTACGAAAGGTACTAAATGGTACTAAATTAAGAGCAGTTTGGTTTAGGGTTGTATTGCAGTCCATGTTGGTGGTATATTTGTGATAAAGATACGGTTTTGTACTAAAAGTGCACGAAAAGTACTAAATGGTACTAAATTTGATATTGAATTAACCAATAATTCTGGAAATCTGCCTGGACAAATGTCTACTATAATTCTACGAAAAGTACTGAATGGTACTAAATTTAATCTTAGTTGAAGGGACAGAGCTGAAGTTCTGAAATTTGATGCTTAGATAACTAATGGTATAAGTGTTTGAGATTTGGCAGTGGTTGGAAAATGCGCCCTTTATTTGTACGAAAAGTACTAAATGGTACTATATTTGTTATTGAGTGAAGGGATAGAGCAGAAATTTGATATAGATATGACGATAGTTTCGGAAAGTACTAAATTTGGTATGGGATGAAGACGTAGAGAAGTTGGTGTCAGTGGTTATAATATGGAGGTGATTTTACAAATGCGTGCTATAAATGTACTAAATGGTACTAAATTTGGTCTTGATCGGAAGGATAATGATAAAATTTTGAAATTTAACATTTTCATAACTAATGGTATCTGTGGTTAAGATTTGGATATGGTTTTGAAAATAATTGTCTGAAAAGTACTAAGTGGTACCTAATTCGGTATTGGAGGAATGGATAGAGCTGGATTTCCGAAATTTGATGTTGAAGTCTCAGTTGGTATCTGAAATTGAGAATTGGAGGTTGTTTTTGGAAATGTGTACTACATTTGTACGAAAAGTATTAAATAGTACTAAATTGGATAATGCGTGAAGGAATAGAGCTGAAATCCTGAAATTTTATATGGATGTCACTGTTGGTGATTGTAGTTGAGAGAAGGAGGTGGTGTCGGAAATTCCTACTTTGAACATACAAAATGTGCAAAATGTCTCAAAATTTGCAGTTTAGTGTTGGGATAATATGAAATTTTGAAAGTTGTTGTAACAGTGACCTGTTGGCCCGTGTGTAGAGAAGGACTAACTCCACATGTGTAGTATAAGATTTTTACTTAGACTGGAGACATATAGAACTCGTTAATTTCGTATCAAACATCAGGTTTTGGCTATATACGTAACTTCCTTCACTTTATATGAGATATGTGATAATTTTTGGAAAATTTTGAAATGATATTGATGATACCAGATATTGTTTACCAAAATTTTGGGATGTGGAAAATTTAAAGAAAATTTAACATTAATTTCCTATTTTATGCGAATAATTGGGATGTGTGAAATTTGAAATGAATCCGATGCCTATTTTATGAAAGTATTGAAAATTCTTACCCTTTGTAGGGGAGATAGCAGATGGGGTGATCCGATAATCACCGTCACACCAGACATTACATTAGCAATAAAATGGGATGTGTGAAATTTGAAATGAGCCAGAGGCTTATTATGAGATTTACAATTATTCACAATTTTGACCCGTGGGAAGAGTACCAGAAGAATTGCTCCGATTTTCACACCAAATCTTGTGCTAATCAAAATATTGGGATGTGTTACATTTAAGAGAATCGAATGCCTATTTCGGATTTTATGTGAGACTAGCAAGTGCTCGCTACCTTGTCAGACAAAAGTCCACTTTAGATTCGCATAACTATTCGTGTTAGGCTTTTCAGTACCCAAAATCTACAATTTGTTCAGTTTGACAATTTTTTTTTATCAAAACCTCAAACATCGTTCTAAATTGTCAAACTTTCAAGGTTTTATGTTCCTTTCAGAATTTTTAGGGTAATTTGGGCCCACTGATGTCAAAAATGTACTTCAAAAATTTTTCCGATTTTTAATTTTTCAAGGAACCAGTGTTCGAGATTTCGAACAGTCAAGTTTCCGCATATGTAAAGTCACGCTTGTGCATGCAAATCATGCTTTTTATATTTAGTATAACGGCTACACAAATATTTTTTTTTTTTTTTTTTTTTTTTTTTTGAAAAGGGTGTTTTTACTCTTCGAAAAATCAAACAGAGGTGCTAAATACGTTAATATTTTAATTCTAAGGAAAAGTGACAAAAGAAAGAAATATTCTACATCACATTTCATTGTAAGCCTCAGAACAAAAGAAATGTCTTGTTAATTTAAAAAAAAAAAATATTAATTAAAAAAAAAATTATTTTCCAACTGTTCTAAAGCCGTCCCATTAAAAAAATAGTGGTTTCGAAGATTTTTATTGGGCTATAGACAGACAATCTACCATTTTGTATAGCATTCTTTTCAATGGCAATCTCATTGGCCAAGCTATATTCTCGATTCCATAATCTAAAATCGTTTACTCTATTATATTATTATCATTTGCATGCGACAACAATAACAGCAGCAACAACAAAACATTTAAATAAACATTTGATGATAATTAAATAGTCCGATAAGAATTGATGATGATAGTCAACCAAAAAATTTATAAATTTGGGTAGAGTATTACAATCTTAGTTTGACGCCGAATTTCATAGTAAACAGATCTAACTTCGAATGAAAGAAAAAAATTGAAAAAAATATTTTAAAAAAAAATCAAAAAAAAATATTAAAAAATTTTAAATCAAATTCCGTAGCCAAAATAATGTGTTTTGTATTTCTGGCAATATGTTTGATTTTATTCATTTGTCTTTACAAACTGAATGAGAATTATTTTGTGTTGTGTTTCTGTAAACGGGTGCGCACCATCGATGGCAGTAAATTGGAGGATAAAGTCTGTGTGGTGCCCGGCAAGGTGCCAATGTTTGGCAATAATTTCGATTTAATTGATATGACACCAGGTGAGAGGAAGAGAGAAATATTCATGAATCAGACTCATTAATTGAGAGAAACACACAATATCTTCCTTCTCTCTCTCCCCCCCACTCAATTTAGAGACCATATTCCATTACTCTCGCAACCATTACCGCTATGCCAAGGGTAAACATTACCTTTTGTATTTCCTCTTTACTGCGGTGTATAGCATCAACAATGCCGAAGATGCCGCCGAGCTGTTTCAGAGCACTACGATTTTAGAGAAATCGGTACTTTATAAATATGTGGAACCATTTTTGGGTGAGGGTCTGCTAATTAGTTCGGGTAAGTGTGAAATTTTATGGCGTGTGCAAGAGGTCATGAATTTCGAAATAAAAAAATTTGGTTGATGGCGTTTTGCCTTATCAATATTCCGTCTTTTTGTAGATCGCAAATGGTTTAGTAGGCGCAAACTTTTGACCCCGGCTTTTCATTTTAATGTCTTGCAAACGTTCAATGATATCTTCAAGTAAGTTTGAAAGAATATATATTGACTGGCTAGGTAAAGAGAGGTTCAAAGTCGAAACGTGCCAATGTTTTATTTTTTATAAAGACCTATAGGTGATAAAATAAAATAATTATCGGTGTAAAAATTGTAGAAAAAAATATTAAAAAATCTCTATGATAACCATTAAAAATATCTTAAAAATCCAAAAGTATTGGACCGACAGTCCCATAAAAAATACCCCTAAGAAATTAAATATTATTATACCCTCAACAATATGGCTAGAGAGGGTATATATCATTTGATACAACCTAAACGCCCCTAATAAAAATAACGCTTTTAGGCCCTAAGTCTCTTTGGACCAAATCCTTTTCAGGACATTTGAAGTCGACCTAGCGATTCCCGTGCGTCCGTCTGGCAGACTAATACATACGATAACTCCTGAAGGAAGTATCCTCTTGGGTCCAAATTTGGTACATCGTAATATTATTATCAAACTTAGATTGAGTTCGGAGATGGGCAATATCGGTCCACTCCTTCTGGTACCACCCCCACAAAAGTTAGAAATTTTCAACAAATCAAATAAAATAGTATCAGTCTGTTTTGCCGACAGATGTATACCCCAGCTTTAAGATATGATTATTTAAACTGTTGACCCTTTATGGAAAAAGGTTCCGAAGCAATTGGACAATATTGACAGTCTGACTGGTAAACATATTACGACGTGTAAGATTTTGACTAACTCGACTACATCCTATACTTTATATGAGATATGGGAAAATTTTTGGAAAATGTTGAAATATGATTGAGGTACCAGATATAGTGGACCGAAGTATTCTATTTTTATACTTCATCTAATACAGATAAAAATATGGGTATGTGCAAAATTTGAAAGAAATCGAACATTTATATCCAAATTTATGTGAAATCATATTCGTATCATATTTCTGGTTAGAGATATTGAGAGATATTGCCGACTTCCTTTTAAAGTTGTGACAGATATAAGTATTGGAAATTGTGACCCTTTGTGGGTGAGGTACCAGAAGGGATTGACAGATATATATGATCCTTCACAACAGATCTTGCGTTGGCAAAAATATTTGGATGTGTGAAATTCGAAGAGAGTTAGATGCTTATTCCGCTTTTAATGAGGGTTTTTCTTAATTCTGAACCATTTGTGGGGGAAGTATCAGAAGGAGTGGACCGGTATATCCCATCTTCACAGCAGATCTTGTGTTAGTAGAAATATTAGGAAGTGTGAAATGTGAAGAGAACCGGATGCTTATACCAGATTTTATAATCGTTTTAGTTATTCAAAATGTTGACCCTAAGTGGGTCAGGTACCAGAAGGAATGGTCCGATCTCTACCATCTATATAACAAATTTTCTGTTGACATTGAACATTGAGATGTGTCAAGTCTAAATGGAATCTGATGTTAATTTCGCGTTTTATGAGTTTCATGGATATTCAAAATGTTGGCTCTTTGTGGGGGTGGTACCAGAAGGGGTGGACTGATATATTCCATATTCACACCAGACCTTGGATTAGTAAAAATAATGGGATGAGTGAAATATGAAGAGAGCCGGATGCTTATTTCGCATTTAATAATCATTTTTGTTATTCAAAACTTTGACCCTTTGGGGGGGAGGTACCAGAAGGAATAGTCCGATCTCTACTACCTTTATAACAGATCTTGTGTTGAAAGAAATATTAAGATGTGCCAAGTCTGAATGGAATCGGGTGTTAATTTCGCATCGTATGAGCTTCATAGATATTCAAAATCTTGACGCTTTGTGGGGGAGGTACCAGAAGGGGTGGACTGATATATCCCTTCTTCACACCCGACCTTGGGATTATAAAAATATTGTGATGTGTATAATTTGAAGAGAACCGGATGTTTATTTCGGATTTTATGATCGTTTTGGTTATTCAAAATGTTGACCCTATGTGGGGGAGGTACCAGATCCGATCTCTACCATCTTTTTAACAAATCTTGTGTTGATGGATATATTGAGATGTGCCGAGTCTGAAAGAAATCGGATTATAATTTCGCGTTTTATGAGCTTCAAAAATATTCAAAATTTTGACCCTTTGTGGTGGAGGTACCAGAAAAAGTGACCCGATATATCCCATATTTACAGCAGATCTCGAGTTAGTAGAAATAATTGGATGTGGGAAATATGAAGAGAACGGGATGATTATTTCGTATTTTATGATAGTTTTGGTTATTCGATAGTTTGACCCTTTGTGAGGGAGGTACCGGAAGGAATGGCCCGATCTCTACCATCTATATAACAAATTTTCTGTTGATGCGAACATTGAGATATACCAAGTCTGAATGGAATCGAATGTTAATTTCGTGTTTTATGAGCTTCAGGAATATTCAAAATGTTGGCTCTTTGTGGGGGTGGTACCAGAAGGGGTGGACTGATATATTCCTTCTTCACACCAGTCCATGGGTTAATAAAAATATTATGATGGGTATAATTTGAAATCAATCGGACGCTTATGTCACATTTTATAAAATTTAAAATTATTTCAAGATTTAACCCTTTGTGGGGGAGGTACTTGATGGAGTAGACCGATGTTGTCCATTTTCGCACCTGACCTAGCACTGATGCAAATATTAGGATTTACAAAGTTGGAACAAATTCGGATTATCCATTCTCCCTCTCTGCGCAGTAAATTATTATTTTTGGAAATTTCCAACTTTTGTGGGGGAGGTACCTATCTCCGAACTCGATCTAAGTTTGGTAATAATATTACGATTTACCATGTTTGGACCAAACTGGATACTCCCTTCGGGAGTTATCGTGCGCACCAGCCAGACGGACGGACGGACGTCGCTAGATCGACTCCAAACGTTCTGAAACGGATTTGGTCCAAAGAGACCTAGGGTCTAAACCGTTATTTCGATGAAGCATGTTTTGGCCGTATTAAATGATATATACCCCCTCTAACCATATGGCTGGGGGTATAAAAAAAAGCTATGATGATCTGTAAAAAAAAAAATTGAAAAATCCACAAGTATTGGTCCGACAGTCTCACAACAAATACCCCTAAAAATATATTATTTTTATTGTTCTTTGTCCTCTAAAAATTTAGGAAAAATATTTTAAAATAAATATATATTTTTCTTTCAGGGAGGAAAGCCTAAAACTCTTGAAAAAGTTGCAACACCTGCAAAAGGACGAAATCGAAATAAACGATATTGTGACAGAATTCACTTTGAACAATGTCATCGGTAAGTTTCGGCCAGTATTTCGTTGAGGTCTCTTTTTTCAAAACGAAACGAAATTTCGAGAAAAAATCAATCAAAAATCACAAAAATTCAAAAAAATATGATCTTTGCTTTAAGAATTTCAAAAAATGAAAATTATTATTATTTTTTTTATTTTAATATTTTTTTTTTATTTTATCATTATTTTTTATTTATTTATTTTTTATTTTATTATTTTTTATTATATTATTATTATTTTTATTTATTTGTTTATTGAATTTATTTATTTATTATTATAATTTTTTTTTTCTTGATTGCTTAAGTCCACATTACTCCATTGGTTTTATTTCATATTACTCGCTACTAGATTTTCATAACGAATCTAAATTTTTGAATCCATATTTTCTCTTCCTCTAGAAACCGCCTTGGGTGTCAAATTGGATGACATGAAAGGAAGTGCCCAATATCGCCATACCATCCATGACATCGAAGAGGTCATTTTGGAAAGAATCTACAATCCTCTGATGTATTACGATTTCGTGTTTAGACTCTTCGGGAGATATAAGAAACACAAGGAAGATTTGAAAATAGCCAGTAATTTCAGTAGTAAAATTATCCAAAAGAAACGTGAGGAGTATCGCAAGAAGAAGGAAATGGAGAAGCAACAAGACAATGAGGTGTAAGTAAGAAAAACAGCACAATCTATATTAATAAAAGAGTAAAGTAATTGACTGGCTGAATGACAGACTTGACGATTCATCAAAGCTCAAACGAAACGACTGAAGCTAGAATCATGAAATGGTCCGAAGGGGTAAGATAAGGCTGGGTTTTTGGATTCGTACTAGAACGGTACGAAAGGTATAAAAATGTACTATATTTAAAATTTGGAATGAAAATCAAGGTTGGACATATGGAGATGGACTGATGGTACTGAGTTTTGGCGGTGGTTTGGAAGTGCGTCCTATATCTGTACGAAAAGTACAAAATTGGTTATTGGGTAAAGGCATACAGCTTGAATCCCGAAGTTTGTTATTGGTGTCTGGAATTGAGATATGGAGTGGTCTTAGTGACTACTTTGATTTCATTGCTAACTTTCCGACAAAAATCCGTTAATTACCGAAATTATAATCATTTTAAAAATGTCAGAGCGAAGATTTGTAAACTTAAAAAAAATTGGTCCAAGAATCACCAAAAATAATAGGTTTTTCGGAAATATTTGTCTAAAACTTTCGAGTTAGAATCGTTGACTTTGTTAAAAAATGTGCTCATATTTTTATGGCAAGAATGCTGGATTATTTTTTATATTACTAAAAATTGCGGGGCAAGAATCATGGCTTACAAAAAAGACATTTGTCAAGTTCAGGTCCAAAAAGCTTTGATTTAAAAAAAAATATTTTCAAAAATATTTTATGTTAGAAATTGTAACTTAAAAAATGCCCAAAATCCAAGGTGAACAATTTTGGACTTTTTCAAATATTTGCCGAATTTTCGCATCAATTTTTATAAATATATTTATAAAATATTTCTGGTCCGAAAATCCTTGATTTAAAAAAATGGCAGAAGTTTCAAGTATTTTTATAAAAATCGTACATTTTTAAGATTATTTGTCAAAAATTCCCTGCCCAAGAATATTGAATTTTTTGCCAAAAATGTCCGTTCCAAGAATCATGGTTTTAAAAAAATCCAAAAAAAAAGGGTTTAAGCCAAGAGATTCATATCTCAAAAAGAAAAGTTTAACATTAACGCAGTTTAAGTTTTCTATTGCAAGTGACTTCCCCAATTAAAAATATTATAAAAAAAAATAAATAAATAAAAAAGGAAACAAGTGAAAAAGCAGTAAGTTCCATTTGGAAAGAATTTGGAAATTAAAAAAAAAATAAATAAAAATAAATAAATGAAAAATATAATTCCTTATAAATACCCCTTAAAAATACCCTATATCGACGTGGACCTGCCATTTTCTGTGACAGGCTGTAGTACCCATTACGAAGTACAAATACGAAATTTTTACAATTCCGTTGAATAACGTAGCTAAAATCTTTAAAAAATATCGAATATAGGGAGGTACCGCTATATGGGGGCTATACGAAGACGTGGACCAGCACAGACAATCTCCTGTCATAGGCTGTAGCATCCATTACGAACATCAAATACCAAATTTGATACAATCCCGGTGAATAATGTCGCTAAAATCCGAAATATCGGGAGGTTCCGTTATATGGGGCTATACGAAGACGTGGGCATGCAAAGACAATTTTCTGTCTTAGGCTGTAGTGTCCACTATGAACTTCAAATATCAAATTTGAAACAATCCCGTTGAATAATGTCGCTAAAATCATCAAAATACCGAATATCGGGAGGTACCGTTATATGGGGGCGTGGACCTACATGGCCCATTTTCAATACCAAAAGTCCTGCAGACATTACATACATTTGAGTAAAATTTTATCAATCTACTTCAACTCCTTCGGAAGCTAGAGTGATTTCCACAGACGAACCCACGGATAGACGGACGGACATCGCTAAATCGACATAGAATTTTATGCTGATCAAGAATGTATATACTTTGTGGGATCTAAAATGTAGAGGGTTGCCCATATTCGACGGACCCATGACTCTTTGGGCCCATTCCAATCGACGAGGCTTGTCCGCAGGCAACATTCTTTGCGTCAATTGAATTTTGTACGGGAACAAATGCAAATCAATTCGAATAATCCGTTGTAAAGTGGACTGAGCCATGCCCAACTGCTGAGAACGCCGTACGAGCCAGTGTTGAGAGGTCCCCAAGAACATCCCGAGTTCTTGGGGACCTCTCAACACTGGCTCGTACGGCAGCGATATTCTCGGCCGATCGCCTTGGTCGACTTTTATATGGCCTCTTCGGATTAGAAAGAGCCTTACCAGTCGAAAATTTTTCGTATAAACGCTTAATGGTGTTCTTAGAAGGCTCACTTCTCACATTTTTTAATGTTTTGAAAGCACGTTGAGTTTTCACAATTGACTTCTTGTAAATTTCAACTATTTCAGAGCGCCCGGGTGGCGTGTATTGGTTCATGGTAAAAATCTGCTTGGAATCGAATATGGACAACCCTGTATATGTCGAAGTGTTAAAAACGGGATCGCAAACTTAATATACCCTCCATACTATGGCGGACTTTGACTTTATTTCGAAAGATTGATGTTTTAAACAACTACGAAAGAATCTCGATATGAATATTTTTATATCATATCATAACTAAAAATGAATTTCCCATTGCAATTGTGTATTTTAGTGACGATTTTGGCAAGAAGAAACGTTATGCCATGTTGGATACGCTGCTGGATGAGGAATCCAAGGGCAACATTGATCACGAGGGTATTTGTGATGAAGTCAACACATTTATGTTTGAGGGTTACGATACAACTTCAACATGTCTGATTTTTACAATTTTGAATTTGGCATTGCATCCGGATGTCCAGAAGAAATGCAGAGAGGAAATTGCCAACATAGGTGGGTAAATATAAAACTCGAAATAGCTCAACAAAAAATTATTTATTATTGGACTACGAAAATGTATTATTTATAGCCAAGAAATAAATTCTTATTCGGTAGTGAATCAGAATTTCAATGATTTTTTTTTTTTTGTGGAAAATAAATTTTCCAATATCCAATCAAAAAAACATATTTATACTTTCCTTTTTCAGGTGACTTCTCTTCCCTGACCGTTTTCGATTTCAACAAATTGGAATATTTGGAATGTGTGCTGAAGGAGACATTGCGTCTCTATCCCTCGGTGCCATTCATTGCCCGCACCTGTGTCGCTGAGACGCGTATAAATGGTTTAATCCTTCCCACAAATAGTCAAATAAATGTTCATGTCTATGACATCATGAGAGATCCAAGACATTTCCCGAATCCCACTGAATTTAAGCCGGAGCGGTTTACACCAGAAAATTCTGTGGATCGTCATCCGTTTGCCTTCGTACCATTTAGTGCTGGTTCGAGAAATTGCATAGGTACAATTATTAATAATTATTATTAAATTTTTTAATTTTAAATAATTTTTGATGTTGTTTTTTAAGGACAAAAATTTGCCATTTTGGAAATGAAAGCAGTTTTGGTGGCCCTGCTGAGTAATTTTGAAATTTTACCCGTTACCAAGTTGGAGGATTTGATATTTGAATATGGCATTATATTGAGAACAAAGCAAAAGATTTATGCTAAGCTTAAGAAAATTGAAAAATAAAGAATGAGAAAGAAATGAGAAAGTAAAGAAAGTCTTAAAGTCGGGCGGGGTCGACATTATTAAACCCTACACCACTTTGCTAATTTAGTAGAGCTACGCATAATAATTAAAAGTTTTTATGGGAGAATTCAATTCCCATTTGGTGCGCAATTAATTTGAAATCGGATAAAGATATATATAAGAGGTATATCCAAGTCCGAACCGATCTCGATAAAATTTGGCAAAGATATTTCTGAGCTGTATTTGATATATTTCCCTAAATATCGTTGTTACGGAGTGCATATTACGGCTGTGGGTAACAAATACAACAAATCGGATGAACAGTATATATGGGAGCTATAGCTATATCTGAACCGATCTTCACCAAGTTTGACGTACTAGCTTCTAGACTCAATTCGGTCGTAAGTGCCAAATTCCATCCCATTTGGACAAATATTAGACGTTTGGTGCACAATATAAGGTAAATCGGACGAAGTTATATATGGGAGCTATATCCAAATCTCAACCGATCTCGATCAAATTTAGCAAATGTATTTCTGAGCTGTATTTTCTATATTTCCCCAAATATTGTTGTAACAGAGTTCATATTACGGTTGCGGAGGACAAAAATAACAAATCGGATGAACAATATATATGGGAGCTATAGCTATTTCTGAACCGAATTCGATCAAATTTGTCATACTTATTTTCAGGCCTAATTTGGTTGTATGCGCAAAATTCCATACTATTCGGGCTTATATTACACGTTTGGTGCACAATAAAAGTCAAATCGGACGAAGATATATAGGGCAGCTATATCTAAATTTTGACCGATTATCTCCAATTTCAATAGGGTTCGTCCTTTGGCCAAACAAATGAGTTGTCATCAGCAGAAATGGTTCGAAAAATAAAGAAGAGACTTGATCGCAACCCGCGTCGCATTGGCAGAAAAATGGCTCGTGAGCTGAATATATCGCAATATTCAATTCGGCAAATATTGAAAAAATGAGCTCGGGTTAAAGCCATTGAAATTCCAAAAAGTGCAAGAACTTACACCGCAACAGAAAGAAAATAGACTCAAAAGAGCTAAAGAGTTGCTACGCTTGACCGAAAGTGGTGAACTGCCGAATTTGCTTTTCTCCGATGAGAAAACATTCGTTGTCCTGTCCAGCAGTTTGTAAACAAACAAAAGGATTGTGTTTACTTGCCAAAGAGGTCAGCTGAAAATTTGCACCTTCGGTTGGCCATCAGAACTCAAGCGCCGGCCATGGTGATGGTGTGGGCCGTCTATAACAGCCGATGGTCGCTCTCTGCTCGTATTAATCGACCGTGGCATCAGAAAAAATGCCAAATATTATCGCGAAAATATCCTGGAGGGTGCCTTGGGTACGCAAACATTTTAGCTGCAGACCTTGGACATTCAAATAGGACTCAGCACGCTCCACCCAAGAATAGTTGCAAAATGAGGTTCCTCGCTTCATTTCCAGCGCACAATGGCCACCAAAATCTCCGGATACCAATCCGTTGGACTATTGTGTCTGGAGTATTTTGGAAAGCAAGGTTGGCACTAAAAAATATCAAAGTGTCGATTACATCAAGCAAGCGCTTCCCCGGGAATGGGCTCAAATACAGCAGAGCAATATTCGAGCAGCGAGCGACGGTTTCATTGGCCGTTTGAAGGACATAATTCGTGCCAAAGGTGACCAATTCGAACAAATCTAAACTTCGTCTAAAATTTGATAAATTTAAAAAAAAATGTAAAAATGATGATTTTTTTGCAGTTTTTTTATCTCACCCTGTATATACACTATATTTCTGGGAATATTGTTCAGAAATCAAGCTTGCACCCACCTTATATTGGCCTCTCGTCAATAATGTGGGAATATTGTGTTCATCATCTTTTCAACATTTCCTTTTACAAAAGAAATCAAAATATTTTAGTCTTGCCACAAATGGCATCATTTCTCCCATTTGGTATGAGTACAACATGGCAATGGCAATTGTATGTGTAAATTAGAAAAAAAAACAATCAATTCACTAGACAACGAAAAAAAGGATGTCTCTTCACTTGTCATTGTGCCCCAGAAAGCTATGCAACGTGTTGCGAATAGTGATTTGTTAGATGTCTAGCGGCAGTCCAACGTCAATGACAATCTCAAAATCATTGGGTTTTTGTTCCGCAAAAGAAGAATTTGTTATGGAAGCAAAGTAACAACATTGAAAAAACATTCCCAGAGACTATACTTTGTCAAGTTAAGAAGGAAGGAAATGAAAAATGTAAAGAATTTATAATGTGTTGCTATTTTGTAAGATCAAACAACTAGAAGGATAACCGTAACAAAGACTTATACTATAAACTCAAAGTTCTTCGAAAGCGGAATTGACGGTCTTCGAATAAGCTGAGTTGTAGTTTACATTCTAAAGAAGTCAAAATAACCTTAAGTTCCACTGCAAACCTGACCTGAAGAAGGTCTTGGAAAAATTCTTAAAAAATCGTCAACTATTGATCTGAAGATTGTCTTTGAAAATTTTCTTAAAAATCGTCACCTATTAATCTGAAGATTGTCTTTGATAATTTCCTTAAAATCCATGCCTTTTGAAAAATTCTTCAAAATCCAGGCCTTTTGAAAAATTCTAAAAAATCCATGCCTTTGGAAAAATTCTTAAAAATCGACGCCTTTGGAAAATTTCTTAAAAATCCACGCTTTTTGAAAAATCCTTAAAAATGCAGCCTTTTGAAAAATTCTTAAAAATCTAGTCCGTTTGAAAAGTTCTTAGAAATCCAGGACTTTTGAACAATTCTTAAAAATCCAAGCCTTTGGAAAAAAATTTAAAAATCCACGTCTTTGGAAAAATTCTTAAAAATCCAAGCCTTTGGAAAAATTTTTAAAAATCCACGTCTTTGGAAAAATTCTTAAAAATCCACGCTTTTTGAAAAATCCTTAAAAATCCACGCCTTTGGAAAAAATTTTCAAAATCCAGGCCTTTTGGAAAAATTTTTCAAAATCCAGGCCTTTTGAAAAAATTTTAAAAATCCACGCCTTTTAAAAAATTCTTAATAATCCAGGCCTTTGAAATTTTTTTTAAAAAATCTACGCCTTCTAAAAAACTCTTAATCCACGTCTCTTGAATTTTTTTTTTTAAAAATCTACGCCTTTTGAAAAACTATTAATCCACGTCTCTTGAAAAATTCTTAAAAATCCATCTTTTGAAAAATTCTTAAAGATCCACGCCTTTGGAAAAATGTTTAAAAAATCCACGCCTTCCGAAAAATTCTTAAAAATCCAGGCCCTTTTGAAAAATTCTTAAAGATCCACGCCTTTTGAAAAATTCTTAAAGATCCACGCCTTTTGAAAAATTCTTTAAAAATCCACGCCTTTTGAAAAATTCTTTAAAAATCCACGCCTTTTGAAAAATTTTTAAAAATCCACGACTTTTGAAAAATTCTTAAAAACCCAGGCCTTTTGAAAAATTCTTAAAAATCCAGGCCTCTTTAACTGAAGATGGTCGTTTCAAAATTTTTTAAAAGTATCCACGCCTCTTCAACTGAAGATGGTCGTTTGAAAAATTCTTAAAAATACAGGCCTTTTGAAAAATTCTTAAAAATCCAGGCCTCTTTAACTGAAGATGGTCGTTTGAAAAATTCTTAAAAGAATCCAGGCCTTTTAAAAAATTCTTAAAAATCCAGGTCTCTTTAACTGAAGATGGTCGTTTGAAAAATTCTTAAAAAATCCATGCCTCTTCAACTGAAGATGTTCGTTTGAAAAATTCTTAAAAATCCAGGCTTCTTTAACTGAAGATGGTCGTTTGAAAAACTCTTAAAAAATTCACGCCTCTTCAACTGAACAATAGCTGTGAATGGGAACAGTTCAAAATTCATTTTTCTCGATTTAGACCCGCAACATGCCACTTCATCTGCCGTTGATGGAATCACTTGGAACAAAGAATTTTAACTCTGCCTGAGTCTTTCTGCGTTCTGTGGCAAACATAATCAAATGAGCCTCATTCAATCAGCATCAAGCTAAAACGAGCAATTCAGATCCAGGGTATCAGAAGAAACGACGACACTTGTGCTAGCTAAGCCGTCTAGAGATAGGTTGTTGTGAGCTTAAACATCGCTGTCTGTAATACGGACATAAGGTTCAAGTGTGGTCATTGTTCTGACATTTTTTGGAAATTTTCACCTCCTTGGTTTGGAGCAGAACTCCTAGGTCATTTGTGTATCTCTACATTTGAAAGCAAACAGGTCAAGCAACAAAAAGGAGCCGATATCAACTGGCTGACTAGGCTATAATGGTTATTTAATGGAAGCGGATATTTATTTTCTTGAGTTCTGTTATGGAAATGAATCTGGAAAAAATAAAACATTCAAAGAGTATTTTACAAAGTAGAGTTGGTCCGTGTTTTAGAAATACTAATATTTCAAGTTGCCTACACTCTCTTTTGGTTGTCTATAAAATATCCACAAAGTCTCCATGTAGCTCATAAAGTCGTCCTTCACTAATCTTGCATTTAAATAACCTTCCTTCGACTCGTCTGTAAAGACACTAGGCCTTAAGAAATATAAACCGCCAACGAATGAATCCATTATGATAAACATTAAAAGCGCCATCTAGCGTTGCATAGCACAATCAAAATAAAATGCGGCATGTTGAATAAGAATTTGCAACACCAATTAACTACATAGATTTGTTATTGGAATCGAATACGACTGCAAACATCTCTTTAGCTTCTCCCACATCTTAACAATAATAACAAACAGATGCAGAGCACATACACTACCACTACACAAAAACAACAACAAAACTTAATTAAATAAACAAATAAGAATATTTGTTTAAACAAAACACACTGCTCTCAAACAAATAATTCACAAAAACAACATGCCGCAAACATACACTCACACACCGCAACATTCCACATCGGTTGGCTGTCAACACCTGTTTTTCTTATTGGAGTAAAAGAGAACACACTAGAGCATATCATCACTTCACACTCACGAAACGGAATTTGCGAATGGAGGAGAACCAAAGACAAAATAGAAAAAAAAAACAAAACACAAACCAACAAGAGTCATTTAAGCATCAGAATGTTTTCAATTTTTCACACAATTCCAATGGAATAAACGCGGCATTTCAATGAAATTAAGATAAGCTCGAATTGTAGTTTTCACTAACCTGATTGAAAATTCAAAAAGATGATTGGAAATAGCACAAAATACCGTAAAATTAGACGACCGTCGCGAGAACAAAACATTTTATCGGCCATTTTCACACAAAACTAGTGATGGCAGAGCAATGACAGTTGTTTTTGTGTTATCGGTTGCCTAGCTGCGATTGGTGTTGTGTTGTCTCTAATGAAATTGTGTGCAGGGTTGTATTCAGAAGGTGGAAAATTGCGAAAATTTTGAATTAAATAAATTTGAAAATCTGGAAAATAAATAAATTTGAAAACTTATAATTAAATAGATATGTAACAAGTGATTTACTAATAGATATATACATGGTACATGGAAGCGACAATTTATACATGGTATAGCTACGACCGTCCAGGCGCTTCCATGTTAGGAAGTAATAGAAAAATGGAAAATTTGAAGAAAATACGACACTAAAGGGATAATTTGACCCCAAGCCTGCTAATTTCAACTTGCTTTTTGGAATTGGACATTCTATAAACGCCATTACACTGTATTTTCCACAAAGACTTCGGCCTTAATGTCTATAAATATCAGTTAACACAGGAACCGAAGCCAGCCGATTATAAGCATTATCTGATTTACTGATTGGGTCCTTGCATGATAAAAAAAACCATAGTTCCAGCGATGGAGACTCATTTGCACATCGATGACTATGTCAACAAGCAGTCTTGTTTCGCAGGTACTAATAAAACTCAAGAATTAAGTTTGACGAGCTTCGTCAGCCTTAATGTATACTTTTTTATGCAATTTATGTTGCCGGTGTTTGCTTCAATGAGCTTACTTTTTCCGAAAATTAAGTTGGATGAACATGATTGGGTACTTGCATGACAATAACCCTGAATTCCAGCGATGGAGATCCATTTGGCCATCAATAACTATATCAACAAGCAGTCTTGTCTCTCGGGTACTCGTACAACCCTGAGTGGCTGTTGAGAAGCCTCTTTAGCCCCAGTGTTTACTTTTTAATGTCATTTATGTTCCGGTGGTGTCATTGAATCTTCGAAAATTAAGTTGGATTAACACCTTTAGTGCATTGGTTGCGCTATTGAGTGATGGTTGCTGATTTATGGTCGGAGTTGGTTGGTGTTGATCTTGACAACGTAAACATGCAAAAAAATACTATACATCCCACTCAGCATCGTCAAAATTGTTCTTTTACATGAAAAGTTTCCGGATAGTGGTATCTCTCGAAGAGGTGATCCTAAGTTGGTTTAGCCCAAGGACAAAGCCTGTTGAAATGGAGCAGTTTGTAAACAAACAAAATGATCGTGTTTACTTGCCAAAGAGGTCAGCTGAAAATGTGCGCCTTCGGTTGGCCACCAGAACTCAAGCGCCGGCCATGGTGATGGTGTGGGCCGCCATAACAGCCGATGGTCGCTTCCCGCTCGTAATAATCGTCCCTAAATGCCGAATATTATGGCGAAAATATTCTGGAGGGTGTATTAAAGCCTTGGGCACGCAAAAATTTTGGTCGCAGACCTTGGAAATTCCAACAGGACTCAGCACCATCGCACTCAGCACGCGCCACCCAAGAGCGGTTACAAAATGAGGTTCCTTGCCAAAGGTGACTAATTCGAACAAATCTAAACTTATCCTAAAATTTAATGCTATTTCCGACATTAAAAAATTAAAAATTATGGCGTTTGACTTTGTTGCAGTTTTATTTTTATCTCACCCTGTATATAAAGGGATGCAGTGTATCAAATAGTCGACCCCGTCCGACTTTTGATCTTTCCTTACTGCTTACATTTATATATGCATATATTGATGGGGTCTCCAACGAAAATTTCGAAATGACAAACCTTACATATCCTCCACTATATAGGGGAGAGTATAACAGAAATGAAACCTCTTGACGGGGATTTACTTACCAACATTCATGTGTACTACTAATACAAACAAAAACCACGTCATTTTCTCAAAAACAATTCCAAGCCGATAAGTTTTATTATTGCCGGTCAGTCTACCCACGCAAAGTGATCAATAAAACGCAATTCTAAATCACAATTCAACATGGATAATAAAGAAATTGAAATTCTGATGATTGGCCTGGATAGTGCCGGCAAAACTAAGCTGCATTATACCCTAAAACAAGGTCATGTTGAAAGCACCATACCCACTTTGGGTTACAATGTCGAAACAATTGAATACCATGGAAATAATTTCACAATTTATGAAATTGGTGGCCTCAATACTGTACGGATTTTAAGAAATTTTTACACTGAAAATAAGTCGGCTGTCATTTATGTCCTTGACGTGGCCGAAAAGGAGCGTTTTGTCGAAGCTAAGGAGGATTTACATAACGTGTTTGAGTGCAATAGCAATTTGAATAATGCAGTTCTATTGGTGTTGGGAAATAAATTAGATTTATGCCCGGAATTCGATCTTAGCAGTTTGGCTGAAGTGCTGCAGTTAGGGGATTTAAAACAGAAATGGAGTGTACATGGAATATCTGCGGTGTCGGACGGTCGTGAAAAACTATGTGAAATATTTGAGATTTTATTGAGAATGTTAAAAGAGAAAGATAATAAAACAGAATAGGTATTGTATTGGTTTGTTAGATACTTTACGGGTTTCCTTGAAAATACTCAAGAAAAACTGGATCTTATAATAATGTAATCAATAATAATAATAAAATCAATCAATAAAAAATTGTTGACAATATTAATTTGGGTCAATTAAAGTAAAAAATTCCTGAAATTTAATGGACGGAATTTTGATTTTTTCCAAATATAAGTTAAACGCATGGTACAATGAAGAGAAGGTAGGTCAACTTTGAAAAAATTGCAAGTATAGAGGTCTACCTGTTTGGCTTGTAATGTCAAAATTAGTATCAAAACAATAAAAAATCAAACAACTTGTTGCATTTATTTGAATAAATAATTGAAAACCGCGATAACTGAATGAAAGGTCAACACTTCTTTCCAAAATCATGTACTATATATCTCTAAAGGATTATTTCACTACAAAAACTCTAGATTTTGTCGATGTATACGTTGAAATAAACATTTTGAAAACATCCGAATTTGAATATTTTTTGAACAATTTTTTTGTTATTGAAAGGAAAACACATACATAAACATATAAAGATGACATATTAAGCCAAGAAAATAAAAAAATTAAAATCATATGGTATCATAGCCCTACCTTGATATCATTGTACCATGGTTAAACGGATAAACATTTTTAAATTTCTTAGGGGACCATGGGCCCAAACATGGAATAAGAATTAGATAGATTAACTTGCGGTCAGAAGAAGCAGGATTGATTAGGATAGGTTGCACCAAACTAATTAAGTACAGTACAAAAATGTACAATATCTGCAAGTAAACCGACACGAAGCCTCAAAATTTTGAACACTTATAAAGATAGAAAAATTCAACAATTTTTTAAAACTTCGCACATTCCATTAGACCTAGTTTAAAAATGGTATATGTCGGTAATTCACCGCATTGGGAACGATTGTGAAAAAATACATATGAAGAAGTGCGAATCTGGACAAAATCGGTCCATATCTTCTAGTAGCTGTCACACAATGTTAAGAAAATCATGACTCCCATTAATGGGACTACCTATTTTTGGCATTTCCCAAAAAAAAAAAAAAAATAAATGTATCTCAAATGAAGGTATTAAAATCTCGCCATGGCAAAAAGCTATGTACATGCCTAAGGCGAAACAAGTATTCGAGTTGGTATAAACTTTGCACATATTTTATTTTCCGGCAAAAATTACAATTCGGCTCATAGTTTCGCTCCATCTATTAATACCAGGAACGTAAGCAGGGCAGCCTTCCACTTGGTTACCTTTCTACAATTTATTGTACATTTCAATGTTTTAGTTGTTTACTAGTTAGGCTGCCGGAAATTTTTTCATAATAAATTGCCGTTTTCGTCTTGAAGGGTAAAATGTTCGTATATCGATCAAATTTCCTGGTGCCACAGACCATAAAAATTACAAATTATAAAAGTGGTATGTTCAGAACAAGAATCTACTAGTTTTGCAATTTTCACCATACAATGGAGGGTATTTTAAATTTGTCAGTTCGTTTACAACAGCTCGAAATATTCGTCGGAGACCCCAAAAAGTACATATATTCCTAATCAGAATAAAATTAAAAGGCGATTTAGCGGTATCCGACGGTCTGTCCATCCGTCTGCCTTATGAAATCACTATAGAGTTCACATTTTTTAACCAGAGCCTTAAAATTGGGCACAAAGGTTTATATTACATGCCCCCATATAACGGTACCTTCCAATCTTCGGCACTTTAACCAATTTCCAACAAAATCAGCTGAAACTTGACATTTGGGGTTCTTGAAAGCTTTGTTTTCTCCTGGTGGAAAATGTTCGATTAAGACCCACTGATTGGTATAGCGTCCATGTAACGGTTCCACCCAATTGATTTTAATTTGTAAACATTTACCGTATTCTCCGGCCGATGTCCCTGGTAGTTGCAGTTTAAAGTGAAACACGTTGGCATCCCGGTACATATATTTGAAATGATTTTTTTACCAAATGTTGGAGGGTTATTAAAAGATCAGTCCGGCTGAACTTTTAAACCCTTAGTCATAGGGCTAGAAAGGGGATATATATTTTGATACGGCCAAAACGTGCCTTCTGGTACCTCACCCACAAAGGGTCACAATTTCCAATACAATATATATGTGTTATAAATATTTCTCTTAACCAGAAATCTAATCAAAATTTATGATTTCGCTTATATTTGAAGATAAATGGTCGATTTCCTTCAAATCTCTCCCATAAAGGCTTAAAAGTTTGAATAAACATAACTCAAGGCTGGGGGTATACATCTGTCATCGACTGATACTATTTTATTTGTTTTCGATATCATAAAGGGAACATCGATTATCTTTGTAAGCATTATTACATTCTGAACCGATTTCGGCTTGTTGGTGTTGAGTTAATGGTCGGATTGGCCTGGAAGTTTTTTTATGTTACGGTACAAAATGACCAACATTATCGTATAACTCCCAAACAGGTTAAATAACGCATAGCTTCGAACGACATCCATATTGTGTGGATATTGAATTCGAACTTTCGGGTCGAATAACCGTTTATTTCCACCATGAAAAATTTTTTCGTCGTAATAAGAGGAATAATACCTACCTGTGATAAAAATTTCAAAATTATCCGAGCATAGCCCCTACACTTGACTTGCTCTTCGACATCTACCAAACTGTACAATTCTTAATGTATTTCGCCGAATTTGTCAAAATCTGTTCTATTTGGCCAAATATTAAGCATTTGTCTATTTCGTTTTCTTTTCAATGTTACAAGAAGACGAAAACTTGAATCACAATATGACTTAGAATATAAAAAAACGCAATTCTGTTACAAAGTGAATGTTGTTGTCAATCCTAGCATTCTACCTTAAGTATATTGAATCGAACATATAAAGTCGGATCTGTTCCGTCAAAATTTTAAATTGCATCGATCAGAAAGGCAAGTACATAAATTAATGTTGATCGAAATTTGCTTGATGTCGGGTGTAAGTATTTGCCCCTGAAATTACGTTCAGATGATACTGACACAAATCAGTATTGATGTTGATAGGATGCTGCTGATAGGTGTGAGGTTCAACGGATTGTGGGAGTATTTTGGTGCAAAACTGGATCTTTTGAAGTTATTGCTCTGCTCTAACTTCTATTATTTGTCCCGAATTGTCTACAGCAAATGATCAACTAGCATTTTAGTCACTCAAACATTTTCCTTCACTTTGTTGTTATCAATTGCACTTTCATTACTTTCCATATCATGATTTCTTATCCAATCCACAACACACATGATTTTCTATTTCTTTTACAAAAACTATTTTCTTTTTGATGTTGATTTTTTATTTTTTGTTGTTATATACGAAACACACGCATCACACTTAAACCAATAATTTCTTTTAAAACATAAGAAATTCCGCCCTTTATGCACGCAACATATCAGGTGGACAGGAGTGGTTAAAATAAAAACTCATCATCCAAGCTTTTACTTCTTGGATTTGCCGGTAGCTTTTTGGGCGGGTTTCTTGGCTGCAGACTTGCCAGCGGTCTTGGTGGCAGCAGATTTAGCGGGCTTCTTTTCAACCGTCTTGGTGGGTTTGACTGGCTTGACAAGACTTTCGCGTTGGCTCTTCAAAGCCTTGACGATCTTTTGTTCTTCGATCAGGAAGGCACGAATGATACGTTCGCGCAAGCAACGGTGGCAGAGGACACCGCCGTAGGTACGGGCGACAGTCTTGAGACGCTTGGACATACGGCTACGTTCGCAAGGGCGAGAGGGTTGGATGCCCTTCAATTTCTCTTTACATTGACCGCACTTTGGGACAGTCTTGTTTTTCTTCACATATTGGTAGACCAAACGACCGCCAGGGGTACGGACACTAAAAACAAGAATTTTCAATAATTAATCAATTTGAATTAAAATACTGCAGGGGAGGTCAAAAAAGAAGCCTTTTGCATAGTGTGGAAGCACACTGAGTTCTTGATTGCCCTCCCCTGGTCCATTCAAATTTATTTGTTTATATTACTTACATACGTCTCCTGTTGGATTTGGTGTTGTAGGACAGACGTCTTCTCAAAGTCAAACGTTGAACCATTTTGTCGGCTATGGACATTCAGGAAAACGTAATCGAAAAACACAATCCATTTCATCAACGGTAATTCCATGGCAGGCAATTGGGCAAGGCGGCAATCAAAACAGGCACATACATTCAATGTTTGTTGTCATTGCATTCAAGTTGTCAAAATATAAAGAAAAACACAAAGAATTTCAATTAGTTTCATTGTTTCACACATTTTCAAATGTCTTTTATTCATAACACTGCACAATGTTCATGATCTATTTCGTTTTATTTTGATTTTTCATGATTTTTTCGACATTCATAAAATTTTTAGTACGCATACCTTCAAGAAAAAAACTAGAAAGGAAGTTGTCGGTATTGCCGTTAAGCGACGAGAAGTTGGCTGCAGCATTTGACAGCTGTCAGTGTCATTTTTTCGTCGAAAGTGGGTAAGGCAGTGCTCACAGAGGTGTAATTTAGTCGAGATTAGGGATTGCGGTACAAGATGGGTTTAATAAAATAATTTATTTATTTAATAATTGGGTTAATTGTTTTACTTTTTTCTATTTGTTTGTGTTGCAATAATAGAAACAGATGCCTTCATATTTTGCCAAAAATATATGAATAGTATAATGATCAAAAATATTAAAAAATTTGTTGGAAAAAAACAAGTGAGACCGCTAGAAAAAGCAAAGTAACACATGGCAAAACATATGCATTTTTCTGACCAATTTCTTTTTAATTCTTAAATTTTTCTTTTTTATTGCAGATGTTATTGCATGCGTTTATAGTACAAAATATATCACTCAAAGATGGAAAAATTTGCAATTTATGTGACTCTAACACGAGGTAGATGCATCATCGCTTGGGAGCATTGATATGTCAATTTTTTTAATGTTTTGTCAAAAATAAGTAGATTTTTATATATTTTCTTATGCGAAGCAAATTGGAGGTTGTTGTAATATGAATTTTTAATTAATTTGTACAAATTTCAATAATTTTTCATTCAACATTTTCAATTCCAAGATCGATTTGGAAGTTCGTTGTCCCAGCAACTGAGGCGTTATATTTCAACCATGATTTAGCCTTAAACATGTATCATGGTAAAAGAATAACGCATGAGAATATTGATGCGTCAACAATTCTAAAATGTTTTTTTTTTTTTTTTCAGTTTTCTTATATGACACCAATCGTAGTTTGCATTAATATGCATTTTTAATAAGTCTTAAGGGCTAAGTACATAGGAAGCTTGAAGTCATGGCTAGGCATATTTTGTGACATTTCACAAAGGGATTACAGAGCCGCACTAAAATCCAGCCGTCGTTTTCCATTATAATTTAACATTAATATGCCTAGCCATGACTTCAAGCTTCTTATGTACTTAGCCCTTTACAAATTTTAATAATTTTTCATTAAAAATTTTCCATTTCAAAATTGGTTTGGCAGTTCATTGTCCCAGCAGATGTGTCTATGCGACTGCCTGTATTCTTCTACCATGACATGTATGCGTGGTAAAATTAAGAAGGTGAAGTCATTTTAAATAAGCATATCCAACTCTGTATTTCCTGTAATTTACCCTGGTAAGTTTTGACTTTTTTTGCATTTGTCATATTTAGTTGTGATTCAGGCGATCAATTCAGAGAATGTGTAAAGTAAGTAATTAGTAAAAAAGCCGTAGTTGATTATCTGGACGAGCTGTCAAAACATTTATTGTAATTGGAATCATAGTTCGAAAGATAAACAAATAGTAAACAACTTTAATATTTCATCTGAACTGATACTGGGGCTGAAATCTTGAAAATATGAAGTAGAAAATGTTTTCTTTTTAAAATTCCACTTCGTAGTTAAGGTGAGAACGCAGAAAATACGCTTTTTTGACTGGCTTAAGTCATCAGATAACTTCTTTGTAAAAGAACAAACCCAATTGGTTTAAATTGTCAATACCATTGTATATGCCCCAAATAAATCTACAAAAGTTCGAAGAAGCCAGCCGATAATTTAAGCCAATCAAAAAAGCGTTTTATGTATTCTCACCTTTATTCTCTGTTCCGGAACTTGCACGAATCTACTAGTTTTGAGATTTTTGGCGATATCATTAAGGCAAAATCGGTTACCCTATTAAAATTCATACTTGCAGATTCTGGAACAGAGCATTCTTAATGCATCATAATTGTACCACGGTACAACAGAAAGATTTATTAGAGCTGTCAGCTGATTAATTTTTTTTTGAGTCAATAGATTTGTCTGATTATTTTTTCTGAAGAAATTATCTAGACGCCTCTTTCTTACAGCCTGTTCCAAGAAAATTTCGCGAAAGAAAATTTGTGCGAACGAAGGCTATTCACTCACTTTCGTATAAGAATGCGTTCCACTAACTTTCGTTCTTTCTTTCGCATAGCCTTACGTGATTCAGTGTTGCTAAATATTTTTTTGGAAAAATTAATCGCGAAATAAAGCAAAAAAAGCGTCAAATGTCTAATTTAAACGCGAAAAAGCAGCAGTGGCTCTGTCTCAACTGACATTTCAGTTGTAAACAAACAAATTGTAAATAAACAAACAAAATAAAATTTCTAGTGATTGTGTTCAAACTATTTGTGCTCTTAGAAAATAAAAAAAAGAATATTTCCGTAGCCCTATTTTTTATGGAGGAGGTCGAAATGTGCCACGGAGGCATTTAAGAGATGCTTCGAATTTATTTGAAGTACCTATGATTGTATTTTTACATTTTTGAAATAATAAAAAATGATTTTTTCTAGGTTTGTGGCCAACTTTCGTGTGTCGAAGGAAGTTTTCGGGCTCTTTTGGATATGATGGAAGAGAAGTGGGTGCCCGGTTGCAGAACTACCCAAATCCGCCCCGATTTAAAACTTCTTCTGCTGCTTCCAAAAATTGGCATTCCTCTGGCGAACACAGGATTCTCCTCCATTTACTCAACTAGTGCCCGCAGCTGTGTAGTTGATGATTTTTTCGTGCTGGAATTGAGAGAATAAAAAAAAATATATATTTGTTGTTCACATATTAAATTGCATTTATTATTTTTACTTACATTTTTGTTTCCATTTTCAATCAAGCAATGTTTATGTTAAAACAATTTTCCTTAATTGTTATTATACTGTTACGTTCTTGGATTTTACTTAATCCCGTGTAGACGTTGTTTTATTTCCCAATACAGCTCGTACCAAATAAAACGCGGGTTCTTTCGGATTACGATTATTACAATGATTTTATTTGCACTTTACTTTACTCGACGGTTTAAATTCGCGATCTCATTCACAACTGACTAACTGCCTTTCCATTTCCCCTATTTATATGAGCCTCGCCTGTCGCTACAGAAGTTTCTAGACGATCTGGTAACGCCTAGATTACGAACAATCTACCAATGCAACGAACACATACAAACTTACATTGAGTGAACAATAACAACAACACATGCAAACTTACATTGAGTGAACAATAACAACAACACATACACAGGCGAGGGGGTAACAAAGAAAGAGGAATTAAGCGATCATCAATGATGACGTTTAACAAGAATTGTACGTCAGCAACAAAATAGAAAATGAAAGAGGAAATGGAAGGATGTAGAAAAATCTATACAGTAGTTGTTGTTGTGAAGTTATTCAAATAAACTGCGTAGTAGAAATTTACGTTACAATTCAAATTCTTAAATTAACGGAATTCATCTAAATTAACTTAAATCTAAAGTTATATTCGTAACAATACGATAGCAAACACACAAGTGACTGATTTTGACATTTGTGTTCGCATGCGTACGAAAGAAAAAAGATAGTGGAACGCAAAATTACACTGAAATGCTTACGTTTTCGTTCGCTTTGATTTTCGTGCAAATTTTCGTTCTGATAGATTTTAGTGGAACGGAAATCAGCTGTTTGTCGTGTAAAAGTTGTGCGAACGTGTTCTTTCGATATCGTGGAACTGGCTGTTAGAGAATACGGTAGACATATTCTCTTTTGATAGAAAGACCTGAAAAGTTAACAGACGGATTTCCTGTAAAAACAATTTTTTCTTTTGGTGTCCTTATTCTGTCAAAACATATACAGATTTTGTGTATGTGTGTGTATTTTTTTTTTTTTTTGTTGAATAAAAAATACAATAATTTGAAATTATTTCAAATTTGGTGCAAAATAAATGCAAATTAATGGGTAAATGGGTAGCAAATTGTACAATTTAGTGATAATACTGTAATTTCCTACTATTTTAGAATCAATCTTAGGGAATAACCCCTTAAATTCCGTTCCTGCTTCGCAGGTTTTTCAAAATATAAGAATTTTATTAAAAAAATGAAAAATAAGCAAAGCATATTTAAAATATTATTTGACACTATAAGACTCCAGCACAGAGCTGCATTTTTGTAGTTTCTTTGAAGTTGAGCAACCTTTCTTATTGAACCATGGTTTGTAGAACTTTTGTATTAACAGACGACTTCCAGTAAAAATTGTTACAAATATTAGGGCAACCAGAAACGCTAAATTTTGGGTTAGATTTAATTTTTTTCTTGAAAGGAAAAAAATAATTCAATGTATGTAGAAATCACTTAACAAATCAGAAAAAATATTAAATAAATGGAATCATATATTACATCTAACTCTGACAGGGAGCGGGCATAGCATCAGGGCTGTATTTGAGTTATTTATGGAAAGAGTTCTTCTCTTCAATCATAGAGTGCATTTTTTTAAGAAAAAGCAATATAATCCCTATACAACCAAAGGAAATAAAAAACAACAAATGCAACATGTCAAAGCATGGATTTGTAAAATGGCAATTTTGACATGCACACGGAAATACACATGGATAATGAAAGTGACATTAAAACCTTCATCGTGTGATAGCAGCTTTATTGTACCATTACTGCTGCTGACTTGCTAGTTGTACAACATTTACATACAGAATATGGAATTTGCATAATTATTACAAGTTAATTGTCCTGAAATTACATGGTCTGTTCCAGAATTTCAGGAATTTAAAAGTTTTTACTGCGTTAGCTAATTTTCTCTTTATAATATCCAAAAAAAAAAAAAAAAAATTGCAAAACTACTAGATTCTTGCATGGTATAATAATTACAATGTAGGGGAGAATGACTAAATTTGAAAAACAAAACCCTGAAGCTAGGACTTTTTAACTTCAAATTTACAAATAAGATATGCAACAATTTGTTTCTTTTTATTTGAAACTTTTCTCCCAATATTTTCATATGAATGAAACGCGAAAAACGAATAGAACACCGTAGATTTTTCACAACATCGTGTTCCTAAAACAATTGTAATGCTTTTTTGTCCCAATACGGAAAGATTTATTTTTCCCAAAAGCGTTCGCCCTGCCTTGTCCTTATTTTATCAAGTGCTTTCATATTTTTTTTCCAATAGGAAATGTCACGTCGATACAACAGTTGATTTTCTCAAACTACAGCCTTACCGTCATACAACCAACTTTGGCGATTTGCCTTTGCAATCGATATCAATTAACAATTTAGCTATCGATAATGCCATCGTGTTCTTGTCACCTCCAATTAGAAGAAAAATACAATTATCCCCATATACTTTGGACGAGAAAAAATAATTACGAATATCTTGCCATAAACCAATAGAAAATATTTTGCCATGTCATTGCTGGAGCAATATGAAAAGCAATATTCAATATTGATTGCTGAAATAACCAGTCAAATTGGACGTCTTACACTGACAAATGAAGGCAAGGAACTGTGCAATAAAATCGATGCTAGCCTTACCGAGGCCCAGGAATTGTTGGAACAAATGCAGCTAGAGATACGAGATTTGCCACCAGCCCAGAGGACCACAGCTACTAGTAAATTAAATTGTGCTCAAGTCGAATTGAAACGTCTGCAAAGTGAATATGCTAAGGCCAAAGAGAATAGTAGGAAGAAACAGAGTCCTTTAGATTTTCAAACAGCAGCTGGAGACTATGATGATTATGAAGATGTGGCCATAAGTAATGATCAACGACAGAGGTTGTTAGAAAATTCCGAGACAATTGAAAGAACCGGTAGTCGTTTGCAGGAAGGCTATCGAGTGGTGATTGAGACAGAAACTTTGGGTGCTCAAATCTTAAGTGATTTACATTCGCAACGTGAAACCATACAAAATGCCCGTTCACGTTTGAGGGAAACGAATGCCGAATTGGGTAGAGCATCAAGGACCCTGAACACCATGATGTTGCGGGCGTTACGCGAAAAGGCTGTGCTATATGTTGTGGGTGGGGTGTTTGGAGTGGCCGTTGTTGTTAGTTTATATTTAACATTTTCATCACCCACAACAAATTCATAAACGCAATGCGTATAAAATTAAAATAACACACAATAACATCTTTGTTGTAGCATATTTATTATTAAATGTTTATTTTTAATTCTTTTTTTTTTTTTTTTAGAAAATCATTCCATTTTAGTTTTTAAGTTACATACTTATACTACCCTATATCTGTAGTTTATAGTTAATGCAAATCTTGTATATCTATGTATAATCTTGGCATACGTTGCGCCAATGCATATGTAATCCGTTTTTCTTTATTCTTAATCTATTAATATTTATAAATGTATTTTCATTAAATATGTATATGATGAAAAAGAAAACAAAAGAAAAAAACAACACGCCTTAGAAAATTATTAATGCATTGTGTTATTTAATAATAGATTTGTTGTGGTTAGTATTTGAATATTGATAAACGTACGGAGGGTATGTTAAAAAATGGCTATTTGGTTTCTTACAAATTATTTTATCTAATATACTATAGCATACTTTTAGGTGCATCGAAAGTAAAAAATTCATGGCCTTACGTCGCAGACGAAGTCTAAGTCCTTAGCAGACTTGCTTCGAGATTTTATAACTATTGTTGTATAATTGAGGCATACAAAGAGTAGCATTATATTGTTGATTTGTGAATTCATATTAAATTATAAATATTTGAGATGCATATCCAGGTTTTGTCTAGAGCTTTCAATGAACAAATAGAAGTCTTAGTTTTTTAAAGAACAGCAAAAACAATTGGAATTTAGTATATCTTTCATATTTCTTTTGAAGGGAAAAGAGAAGACCTTCTTCAGTAATTAAAAGGTTTTCCAAAGAGGAAAGTAATTTTAAATGTCTTCCACAGACTGAAGACCTTTGAAAAATACCTTCTTTAGAACATAGACCTTTTTTGAGTTTTCCCCAGACAGAAGATCTCTTAAAGTATTTATATAGACAGAAATATTTTTTGAAGGTGCTCAGTAGACAAAAGGCATTTTAAAGGCCTTCTATAGATAGAAAGGAATTTTAAAGGGTCTTCTAAATGCAGACGAATTTTAAAAGATCTTCAATAAACAGAAGGCCTTTTAAGGATCTTCTATAGGCATATTACCTTTAAAATGTTTTCAAAAGACACGAAAACGCTTTAAATTATAGAGAAAATATCTTAAAACTGAGGGGGTTTTATAGACTAATTACTCTTTCAAGTTCTTATGCAGACAGAAGACCTTTTCTGGTCTTCAGATACAGTGTATAATTTAGAGGTCCCCTACAGACAGAAAACCTCTTAAGATCTGAGATAGATAGGTCTTCCATAGGCAGAAGAGCACTTAAATGTCTTCTATAAACCGAAAACAATTTATAGAAGGCTTTTTGAAGGGTTCTCTATATGCAGACGAATTTTAAAAGATCTTCAATAAACAGAAGGCCTTTTAAAGATCTTCTATAGGCATATTACCTTTAAAATGTCTTCAAAAGGCAGGAAAACGCTTTACATTCTTTGATAGACAAAATATCTTAAATGTCTTAAAACAGGGGGTTTTATAGAAAACAAAACAGAAGATCTCTTATGATATTCTATAGACAGTATATAATTTAGAGGTCCACTACAGACAGAAAACCTCTTAAGATCGGAGATAGATAGAAGGACTTCCATAGGCAGAAGAGCATTTAAATATCTTCTATAAACTGAAAACCATTTATATATATTCCATAAACTGGAGGTCTTTTAAAAGTCGTCCATAGGAAATAAATTATTTAATGATAAGAGTATTTTAATTCTTCCACAGACAGAAGATCTCTTAAAGGACTTATATAGACAGAAACTCTTTTAAATATGCTCAGTAGACAATATATTTTAAATGTCTTCAGGGATTTCATCAACAGATCCTCCGTTAACCTTTTATAAACTGAAGATATTTCAAAGATCTTTCATCTACTTTCTAGTTCTTAAATCTCCATTCCGTTTAAACTCTTAATTTTTTGAAGTTCGGTCATAAATATATAAAAATTTAAGTGGGCAAGGGATTAATGTTTATGGAAAATAAAGCTTTCTTACATTATTTGTTCAAACATGCTCTTGTTCTTATCGCCAAAAATTATAAATAAAAATACTGCTGTATGACAATTAATTTCTACAAACATTTAAATCGCGTGTGAAAAGCAAGCTGTCCTTATATCTACAAGTTATTTAACGAGACATGGTTATCACTTTAAAAATTGGACGTTTCGTTACATATTCCAATACATTTTCATAAATAGATAAAGAAATAAAAAAAGGAAGTGATGAGTAATATAACAAATCTTTTCATTAATCAAACTCCACCATAAAATCCTTATGAGGCATAAAAATTAAAATAAAATTTTTTTGAGACAAAGGGTGTATAATAAATAAAGGCATACGAATAACCCCATACATTCCATGTAACAAAATAAAAATGAGAAACAAAAACCTTTCCACATCTTGATAGGCATTTCCTTCGTTGTTGTTACAGTTATTCGAATACGATTGTAATTCAACTGACCACTACCATGGCTGACCCCAGGCAATCATTCGGGTCCATCCACCTCACCTTATTGCCTACCAGCCACCTAACCAAACTCCAAATCGGCCATTTGCTAGCAAACACAATTCGATGTTTCATCCGTTTCATCGGCAGCATTGACAAGTTCCACTTGTCCGGCAACTATTTGAAAACCATGCTGTTCCATACTGGCTTGCAGGTCCATTTTTGAACGATTCGATTCGACGAGAATCCGCGATATATCTTGGAACATTTCCTCAATCCCCTCACTGGTTTTACACGAAGTTTTATATGTGGCACTTATAAGACTGTGACATTGTTCGCAGAAAGCCTCAACATCGGCATCACTGACTTCGGGCTCTCTGCCCTCCAAATCGGATTTGTTACCACAAATAAATATTTTTGCATTTTCCGCATAGGTAACAATATCCAGCAGATGTTGTGACAACGAGTGAAAGGATGCAGCATTGTCCAGAGCGAACACAAGTATAGCACCTTCGGCGAATTTGTAATAGGATGAGGTGACTGAGGCCACACGTTCCATGCCACCGGTATCCCACAATTGTAGCTGTTGTGAAAACAAAAGAAACAGGCGAGGACACACCTTAATTAGCAGTTACAATACACCCAAATCTAACTTAAAATTTACCTTTATCTGTTTATCATCTACCCGATAGTCCTTTTCGATGTGATCCAAACCCAATGTTGACTTGCGATCCGTATTAGTAATGAAGGTATTGTTTGTGAAACGACGAAACAAAGAACTTTTTCCAACTCCATATTCACCGCACAGAATTACCTTTTGTTTTGGTATCCTTACTTTGGCCATTGGAATTTGGTTTTGTTACTCTTTGGGTGGCTTTGTGTGTTGAGTGGGTATTCTGGATTCTTTCCAGCAGTAATTATAAATTTGTGAAAAGTATTAACAGTATTAACCGTTGCGTTAATAACAAAAAAAAGCGTTTGTTTTGTTAATGATTTATTTGATTTATTAACTAGTCACCGCACACTCACTCTCACAAGAATGGCGAGAGAGTTGAAACAGACTACTAAGCTCTCCAATTGGAAAATTGCCGCCGTCAAGGAATAGTCATAGAATGAAGAGGAAAATATAAACAATGGCAAATGCAGGTTTCTAAAGATCGAAAAAAGACTTTGTAGTAGGGGTTTACCCGTTGCTTGAATAACAATTGTAACGTCGCGTCTGTTTTGTTAATGATTTTTTGATGTATTAACTAGTGACGGCACACTCCTTTTCACAAGAATGGTGAGAGAGTTGAAATAGAGTCAACGAGCGAAGAGGAAAATAAAAAAAAACTTAATTGCAGGGCTCTAAAGACCGAAACAGGATTTTGTAGTAGGGATTTAAAAATGTAGTCAATTCGAGAGATAGGCGATTTCTAAAGGCGAGAGTATATAAGAGACTTTTTTGACTGGCTTAAGTCATCGGCTGGCTTCTTCGTAGAGCAGCAAATGAATTTTAGGTTGACTTAGTTCGATATTGGTCTTAGGCTCGTTTGTTCTTTTCCGAAGAACCAGCCGGTCAAAAAAGGTTTTATGTATTATCACCTTTACGCTCTATTTTCTCTATTTCTCACATTCTAATATTAGGACCGTCATTCGATCTGTAATGAATATGAGATACGTCCGCCCACACATGGTGTGAGGAATCAAAAAATGCGATTTCCCATAGTAATCAAATCCAAAGAAGTTTAACCTGTTTTGAAAAAAAAAAAAACGGCAGCAATCCGTGTAGGACTGTGGCGCATGGAGACTAATTATGCTATTTGCAACAAACTTGCAATCCATGTAAACGCCCATCAAATCGATTTTGCTGTCTTCTTATCAGTAACCGATTCATGTGAATGTGTGTGTGCTTTTATGCGATTGATTTTATTGTCAAGGAAAAAGTTGGGTCTTGACATAATTTCAATGTTAGAAACTGAGCGACAGTTGAGTATTTTTCGTTATGCGCAGCGATTGATTGAATTGTAGTTCCGGATTAAAAACAAAAATGTGTTCCGATATGAAACGTAACTGTATTTTGCTAATAGTCTTTTTGTGGATTGCCTCAGTGGGTGGTAAGTTAAATACTGGACTTACTAAATCTTACTTATATTTAATTATTTTTGTTGTCGATTTTTAGCAAAGCCCGGCTATGGACCCGGTGAACAGGATTGGGGATTTGTTGATGTACGACCGGGTGGACACATGTTCTATTGGTTATACTATACAACGGCGGATGTCACCAATTATACTGAACGCCCCCTGGCCATATGGCTGCAAGGTGGTCCTGGTGCATCGGCAACAGGTCGTGGAAATTTCGAAGAACTCGGTCCGCTAGATGTCAACGGGAAGGAACGTGACTGGACATGGGTAAAAGACATGAATGTATTATTCATTGATAGTCCATTGGGCAGTGGTTACTCCTATGTCGACAATATCACGTTGCTTCCATCGACCAATAATGAAATTGCTCAAGATTTGCTGGCTTTTATGAAGCAATTCTATGAATTACACAGCGAATTTGAAGATGTCCCATTGCATATTTTTTCACAAAGTTATGGCGGGAAAATGGCGCCGGAATTTGCTTTGGAATTGTACATGGCTGTCGAGAGAGGTGATTTGAGAAGTAATCTGAAATCGGTGGCTTTGGGGAGTCCATGGACATCACCCATTGATTCGATGTCAGCTTGGGGTCCTCTGTTACTAAATGTGGTGAGTAGAGTAGAATTCGGTTATATTTTTTATAAAGGGGAGATTAGAAGATGGCGAATGTGGCTTTGGTTATAAGATTGTTCCGGTCATTATTTCTCCTTCTTCTAAAGACCCAATCAGAATGAACACGTTACGCGTTTTTTTCTTGTGATTCGTCATCTATGAAACATCCAGAGAGAGTCTACTTAATCGATTACTGGTAACTCGGTAACTGGTGTGTTATCGATGACGCCTGACATAAAAAAACGCGTTACGTGTTTATTCTGCTTTGATCTTAAATGTGAAGGAATACTTAAGCTGGGAATACATAAAGCGCTTATTTGGAGCATATTTGGCTGGCTTAAGTCATCGGCTGGCTTCTTCGGAAATGAACAAAGGAGCCTAGGGCCAAAATCGAACTAGGTCAACCTAAAACTCCTTTGTTCATTTACGAAGAAGCCAGCCGATGACTTAAGCCAGCCAAATATGCGCTTTATGTATTTCCAGCCTTAAGGTGAGACTATATAAAAGGCTCTTTTGACTGGCTTCTTCGTTGAAGAACAAAGGAGTTTTAGGTTGACTTAGTTCGATTTTGGCCCTACGCTTTTTTGTTCTTTTCCGAAGAAGCCAGCCGACGAATTAAAAGCGTTTTATGTATTATCACCTTAAAGGTGTAAGTACATAAAAAGCTTGAAGTCATGGCTAGACATATTTTGTGACATTTCATAAAGGAATTACAGAGCCGCACTAAAATTCTGTTGTCGTTTCCCATTATAATTTGACATTAATATGCCTAGCCATGACTTCAAGCTTTATATGTACTTGCACCTTAAGACTGGTTATTTGCCTGTATATTTGGCTTAAGTAGCCAATCAAAAAAAAGCGTTTTATGTACTCTCACCTTTAGAAAAAAAGAATAATTTTCTTATTAGTTTATTAAAAATAATGGACTTCGCAAAATTTGCATTCATTTCTTGTACTTAAAAATTATAAAGGTGAGAATACATAAAACGCATTTGACTGGCATCTTGAGAAAAGAACAAAGGAGCGTAGGGCCAAAATCGAACTAAGTTATCCTAAAACTCCTTTGTTCCTCTACTAAGAAGACAATCGAAAAAGCGTTTTATGTATTCTCACTTGTATGTATCACTTCTCCACTCTTGCAGGGCATTGTAGATAAGGATGGCTACGAGCAGATAATGGAATCCTACAATCGCACCCTGGAATATGTTGAAAATGAAGAATGGCATAAAGCCTACAAACAATGGATGAATACATCCTACATAGCCCTAAATGTCAGTGAAAATGTTAATTTCTATAACATTTTGAAATATCTCAAAGAGGGAGATTTGGACTCGGGTGAGGTGGATAATGAAACCGTCACCGGCGATAATGCTAAACAAACTTTGCATTCGCTAATGCTGGGACCTGTTAGCAAAGCCCTAGCTATACCACCCCACGTTATATGGGCATCCCAGAAATCGGATATTTTTGATAATCTTTCGAAGGATTTTATGAGACCCGCAGTGGACATTGGTATGTACATTTTTACTATTTTTCAAAATATTTAATTAATCGAAATTTGTGTTTCTAGTGAATGAAATTTTAAATAATACTGATATCGAAGTGGCTGTCATTTCCGGCCAATTGGATTTGATATGTGCCACTGCCGGCGCTGTCAAGTGGATCGAGAAATTACAGTGGAACGACCGCGAGGAGTATTTTGATGCACCGCGCACTGCCATTCTCATTGAAGACAATGTGGAGGGCTACGAGAAGAGTGGTGGAAACTTCAGCATGTTTTGGGTAAATCGTGCCGGTCACATGATACCCGCCGATAATCCCAAGGCCATGAGTTATATTCTTAAGAAATTGACAAATTATGGGTAATCAATAAATAATAAACAAATACAAAATAAATAATATGTGTGTCGGAATCCAATCAAGTGGCAAATTATGGTGCATAGACATGTGTACATTTGGTATCTATCTATCTCTCTTTCTCCCTCTCTTTCTTCTACACTCAATGCCAAGTAAGGTTAAGTCATATTCTCATAAGTAGTTCTCATGGTGGAAGAATATAAGTAGACGCGTCGACACAGCTGCTGGGACAATGAACTGTCAAACCAATTTTGGAATTGAAAATGTTGAATGAAAAATTATTTAAATTTGTAAATATTGTTGAAAATCGCGAACTATAATAGCCTCCGAATGACGTAGTATAAGAAAACATATAAAAATCCACTTATATTTGAAAAAACATTTAATTTTTTTTTGACATATCAATGCTTCCAAGCGTTGATGCATCTACCTGTATTCTTCTGCCATGGTAGTTCTTAAGAAATATTTTTAATAATTCAATGTCTTAAGCTGCTATCAGACGATAAGGTTTCAACGCTTAAGGTGGGAATAAATAAAGCGCTTATCTGGCTGGCTTCTTCGAAAATGAAAAAAGGGCCAAAATCGAACTAAGTCAACCTAATTTTTGTTTGTGAGGGAGGAGGTTAGGCGTACGTTGTAAGGAAGTAACGGTGGGAATACATAAAGCGCTTATTTGGCTGGCTTCTTCGAAAATGAACAAAGGAACCTGGGGCCAAAATCGAACTAAGTCAACCTAAAGCTCCTTTGTTCCTCTACGAAGAAGCCAGCCGATGACTTAAGCCAGCCAAATAAGCGCTTTATGTATTCCCACCTCAAATGTGTGTGGCTTTTTGGGGCCCTTTAAAATTTTAATGTATTTGGGTGGGTGGTCATAGTGGGGGAGCATTAATATAAAGGTCCTGTATCATGGGTGTATGTTTTGTGTTTGTTTTCAGTTTTTTTCTTTTTCCACTTCAAATTCATTAAATATTCGTTCCATAGGATTGATGGTGGCTGGATTGATAATCCCCTGGATAACCGCTTCCTCCTGAGTGCATATTTGGTGGGCTTAAGTCATCGGCTGGCTTCTTCATAGATGAACAAAGGAGTTTTAGGTTGACTTAGTTCGATTTTGGCCCTAGGCGGCTCCTTTGTTCATTTCCGAAGAAGCCAGCCTATGACTTAAGCTGGGAATACATAAAGCGCTTATTTGGCTGGCTTAAGTCATCGGCTGGCTTCTTCGGAAATTAACAAAGGAGACTAGGGCCAAAATCGAACTAGGTCAACCTAAAACTCCTTTGTTCATCTACGAAGAAGCCAGCCGATGACTTAAGCCAGCCAAATATGCGCTTTATGTATTTCCAGCCTTAAGCAGGCATATAAGTGCTTTATGTATTCCCACCTTAAGACTGGTCGCTTGCCTGTAGAAGACCTGCAAAAAATTCCAATAATCAAATTTCTCTGAGAACATTTATTTATATCTTTATCTTGAATTTCCTCCTCTTTTTATTCATTGTCTAACTTTGAACATTTCTTCAATATATAATTCATAGCCATAGGATTATCAACAGGTACAACATGCCCAGCACGATTTACCCAAAAGAGAGTAAAATTCCCACCACTTTTTTCATAGCCTTCAATATTTCCATCAATGCGAATGGGCAAACGGGGAGCTCGCACATATTCATCACGATGGAGCCACCGCAATTTCTCAATCCAATTGATCGTGCCTGGAGTGGCACAAATCACATCCAATTGCCCCGTGAAAACGCTGACTTTAACATTGGTTTTGTTTAAGAGTTCTTCAACTGAAAAGGGTGAAACAATAAGAAATAAAGGTGAGAATACATAACTCGTTTTTTTGACTGGCTTAAGTAAACGGCTGGCTTCTTCGGAAAAGATAGAAGCCTCGGGCCAAAATCGAGCTAAGTCAACTTAACACTCCTTTGTTCCTCTATGAAGAAACCAGTTGATGACTTAAGCCATTCAAAAAACAACGTTTAATGTATTCTCAACCTAAGAGCTTTTCTCTCTCTCTCTCTCTCCCTCTCTCGACTTACCAATGTGAGTGGCTGGTTTTAAAATTTCTCCTTTAATATTTTCAAATATATCGTTTTCATGGAGTCCCCAGTGTACGTGTTGTGGTATACCCAATGCCTGGCTAACTCGTCCACGCATAAAATCTTCCAACTTTTTTTCATGAACTGTAAAAAGGAAGGAGGATAAAATATAGAAAAAAGTGAGAGCTGGAATAGCTTCGAATATGCTAATGCTCACCATTTTCTTTTTCATATTTCAAAATATTATAGAAATCCACATTATAGGTTTTTTGCTCAATGAAAGTGGTCAATTCTGTTTCCACAACGTCGCCTGCAATCCATTTTTTCTGCTCCACCAAATGCAAAGCTTTATGAGCCAATTTCATTATTTGATCATGGCCCTCTTGGTCTACTAAGCCCTAAAACAGAAAGGCTTTTAGGAGACGAATGAAAGGTTTTCTATTTTTGAATGTAAACAACAGAGGAAATCTATCCATGGGAAAACTAAAGGTGAGAATACATAAAACGTTTTTTTGATCGGCTGGCTACTTTGGAAAAGAACAAAGCAGGGCCAAAATCGAACTAAGTGAACCTAAAACTCCTTTGTCCCTCTACCATTGTAGAAGAATATAGGTAGACGCATCGACACAGCTGCTGGGACAATGAACTGTCAAACCAATTTTGGAATTGAAAATGTTGATTGAAAAATTATTTAAATTTGTTGAAAAACGCGAATAATTATAACCTCCAAATGACGTCGTATATGAAAACATATAAAAATCTACTTACATTTGAAAAATCATTTAAATTTTTTGACATATCAATGCTCCCAAGCGTTGATGCATCTACCTGTATTCTTCTGCCATGCCCTCTACGAAGAATCCAGCCGATGACTTAAGCCAGTCAGAAAAGCCTTTTATGTGCTTTCATCTTTAGACCTTTAGGAGGCCTTAAATTTTTTAAAGTTCCTTCATATTTGAGATTGAAAAAGTTTAGTTTGTGGCGGTTAATATTGGTTTAAAGCAAAAGTTTGTAATTGACTACCTTGTTAGGATCTATTGTCAAACACAGTTGACAACTGCCTTTAAAAAGTGAAGATTTCGAGCCAATGCTGTCACCAACTTCATGTTGAGATCTCTTAAGGCGAAAATACATAAAACGCTCTTTTTAGATGGTTTAAGTCATCTGCTGGCTTCTTCGGAGCAAAGGGCCAAAATCGAACTAAGTCAACCTAAAACTCCTTTATTACTCTTACTCTTTTATTATATAAAAACACTGCAACCAACTTCAGACTGCTGTCATTTCTAAGCCACTCGTCCGACAGCTGTTAAAATTATTCCAGTGACTGCTCATTATATTGCTTACAAGCGTACAAAAGCATTTTGGTGATGATTTTCCAGAAAAAAAGTTATTCGTGATGCAATTCAAGCGTGATGGTGTGATTTCTTTATATTCGGCTGGAAAACCACAAGTGGCTATCGTTAGAGCGCTCCAGCATTTCAGTGTGAATAAATCTGTAGTGTCTCGTATCATCGCCCGTTACCGTGATACTGGTAGCGTAGCCCGACGTCAAGTAGGTGGACGGAAGAAAACAGCAACATCAGCAGAAATGGTTCGAAAAGTAAAGAAGCGACTTGATCGAAACCCGCGTCGCTGTGAACGAAAAATGGCTTGTGAGCTGAACATATCGCAATATTCCATTCGGCAAATATTAAAAAATGAGCTCGGGGTAAAGCCATTGAAATTCCCAAAAGTGCAAGAACTTATACCGCAACAGAAAGAAAATAGACTCCAAAGAGCTAAAGAGTTGATTCGCTTGATCGAAAGTGGTGAACTGCCGAATTTGGTTTTCTCCGTCTCCGATGAGAAAACATTCCTTGTCCTGTTCAGCAGTTTGTAAATAAATAAAATGATCGTGTTTACTTGCCAAAGAGGTCAGCTGAAAATGTGCACCTTCGGTTGGCCACCAGAACGCAAGCGCCGACCATGGTGATGGTGTGGGCACCCATAACAGCCGATGGTCGATCTCCGCTCGTTTAAATCGACCTTGGCGTCAGAATAAATGCCGAATATTATCGCGAAAATATTCTGGAGGGTGTATTAAAGCCTGAGCACGAAGATATTTTGACCGCAGACCTTGGACATCAGCACAACAGGATTCAGTACCATCGCACTCAGCACGCGCCATCCAAGAATGGTTAAAAAATGAGATTCCTCGCTTCATTGCCAGCGCACTGTGGCCACGAAAATCTCCGGATACCAATCCGTTGGACTATTGTGTCTGGAGTATTTTGAAAAGCAAGGTTGGCACTAAAAAATACCAAAGTGTCGATTGCCTCAAGCAAGCGCTTCGCCTGGAATGGACTAAAATACCGCATAGCAACATTCGGGCAGCGTGTGACGGTTTCATTGGCCGTTCGAAGGCCATAATTCGTGCCAAAGATGACCAATTCGAACAAATCTAAACTTATTCTAAAATCTAATGCTATTTCCGACATTTTTTGCCTTGATGGCATTTTACTTTGTTGCAGTTTTTTTATCTCACCCTGTATGAAGAAGCAAGCCGATGACTTAAGCCAGGCAAATAAGCGCTTTATGTATTCCAATCTTTCGTTCGATTTCCTTAACATGGAGTCATTGGGAAGGTCTTTGGAAGATTTCCTTCAAAAGACGACCCTGAGGCAATCTCTAGATAATCTCTTGCCATAGAAACACCTATGGACGATTTATTCCTATGGAATACTCTCAGAAACTAGTTTTTCCACCTTTGGCAACCCTTGAAAAGTTCTCCTATTTATGAAACAACTTCCGAATTCACACACTTATTCTTACCAAATGAAATAGCAGTGGTGCCCTAGCTAAGATGGAATCAATGGGCGATGTCCATGGACCACCAATGGCCACCGATTTCAAATCGCAACTCACTTCCGCACGCTGCACAGCCTTATATAATTCCAAGGCAAATTCTGGAGCCATTTTACCACCATAACTTTGGGTGAAAATATGCAATGGAACCGTTTCAAATTCTCGATGCAATTCAAGGAATTTCTTCAAAAATGCCACCAAATCCAAGGCAATTTCATTATTTGTGGATGGCAATAGCGTCATATTGTCGACATAGGAGAAGCCACTACCCAATGGACTATCAATGAATAATACATTCATTTGCTTAACCCATGTCCAGTTGCGTTCGTTGCCATGCATATCGATGGGGCCCAGTTGATCGAAATTACCCAGACCAGTTGATGAGAGGCCGGGACCACCTTGCAGCCATATTGCCAGGGGGCGTTCAGTGTAATTGGCCACGCCATCAGCTGTGGTGTAGTATAGCCAATTGAACATATGGGCACCCGGTCGTATATCAATGTAACCCCAATCCTGTTCACCGGGTCCGTAGCCAGTTTTGGCTGGAAAATAGGAAAAATTTATAGATTTTTTGGAAAGTTTAATTAACTTAAGTCTAGAACTTACCACAGCCCGTGGTTGCCATTGAAATTAGTGTCCATAGTATAAGTTGAATATATTGGCTTCCCATATTTCTCCTTCAATAATTTAGAAAATAAAATTGCGGTCTAACGAATGGCGCCGTACATGGGTCCCAAATGAAATATTAACTTTGCCTGGCATTGAAAAACAATGTAGATGGAATTTTTGCGTTATGAAACCTAACAGATGGCCAAATATTATCAAGTGAGTCCCCAGAGCATTAGAGAAGCTGATAGCAAAAAGCTACATAAGATTCATACAGTAAAACCTACTCATTACTGACCTAGTCAAATTATTCAAAAATATTTTTTAAAATATCCATACCTTGGTGGTGGTTGAAAAAAATATTTATTAAAAAACCCACGTCTTGGTGCTGATTCAAAAAATATTTTTTAAAATATTTATTTATTAAAAAATCCACGCCTTGGTGCTGATTCAAAAAATATTTTTTAAAATATCCACGCCTTGGTGGTGGTTGAAAAAAATATTTATTAAAAAATCCACGTCTTGGTGCTGATTCAAAAAATATTTTTTAAAATATTTATTTATTAAAAAATTCACGCCTTGGTGCTGATTCAAAAAATATTTTTTAAAATATTTATTTATTAAAAAATCCGCGCCTTGGTGCTGATTCAAAAAATATTTTTTAAAATATTTATTTATTAAAAAATCCACGCCTTGGTGCCGATTCTAAAAATATTTTTTTTTAAAAATTTATTTATTAAAAAATCCACGCCTTGATGCTGTTTCAAAAAATATTTTTTTTAAAAATTTATTTATTAAAAAATCCACGCCTTGATGCTGTTTCAAAAAAATATTTTTTAAAATATTTATTTATTAAAAAATCCACGCCTTGGTGGTGATTCAAAAAATATTTTTTAAAATCTTATTTATTAAAATATCCACGCATTGGTGGTGGTTGAAAAAAATATTTTTTAAAATATTTATTTATTAAAAAATCCACGCCTTGGTGGTGATTCAAAAAATATTTTTTAAAATCTTATTTATTAAAATATCCACGCATTGGTGGTGGTTGAAAAAAATATTTTTTAAAATATTTATTTATTAAAAATCCACGCCTTGGTGGTGGTTGAAAAAAAAATATTTATTAAAAAATCCATGCCTAGGTTAAAAAAAATAATTATTTTAAAAAATCCACGCCTTTGTAGTCCTTGAAAAAATATTTCTTAAAAAATCCACGCCTAGGTGGTGGTTAAAAAAAATATTGTTTTAAAAAATCCACGCCTAGGTGGTGGTTAAAAAAAATAATTTTTTAAAAATCCACGCCTTGGTAGTCCTTGAAAAAATATTTCCTAAAAAATCCACGCCTAGGTGGTCCTTGAAAAAATATTTCTTAAAAAATCCACGTCTTGGTGGTCCTTGAAAAAAATATTTCTTAAAAATCCACGCCTTGTTAGTCCTTGAAAAAAATATTTTTTAAAAAATCCACGCATTGTTGGTCCATGAAAAAAATATTTTTTAAAAAATCCACGCCTTGTTAGTCCTTGAAAAAAATATTTTTTAAAAAACCCACGCCTTGTTAGTCCTTGAAAAAAATATTTTTTAAAAAATCCACGCATTGTTGGTCCTTGAAAAAAATATTTCTTAAAAATCCACGCCTTGGTGGTCCTTGAAAAAATATTTCTTAAAAAATCCACGCCTAGGTGGTGGTTAAAATAAATATTTTTTTTAAAAAATCCACGCCTATTTGGTCCTTGAAAAAAATATTTCTTAAAAAATCCACGTCCTAGTGGTCCTTGAAAAAAATATTTCTTAAAAATCCACGCCTTGTTGGTCCTTGAAAAAAATATTTTTAAAAAATCCACGCCTTGTTGGTGCTTGAAAAAAATATTTTTTAAAAAATCCACGCATTGTTGGTCCTTAAAAAAATATTTTTTAAAAAATCCACGCCTTGTTAGTCCTTGAAAAAAATACTTTTTAAAAAAATCCACGCTTTGTTGGTCCGTGAAAAAAATATTTCTTAAAAATCCACGCCTTGGTGGTCCTTGAAAAAAATATTTCTTAAAATATCCACGCATTGTTGGTCCTTGAAAAAAATATTTTTAAAAAATCCACGCCTTGTTAGTCCTTGAAAAAAATAGTTTTTAAAAAATCCACGCATTGTTGGTCCTTGAAAAAAATATTTTTTAAAAAATCCACGCCTTGTTAGTCCTTGAAAAAAATATTTTTTAAAAATCCACGCATTGTTGGTCCTTGAAAAAAATATTTTTTAAAAAATCCACGCCTTGTTAGTCCTTGAAAAAAATATTTTTTAAAAAATCCACGCCTTGTTAGTCCTTGAAAAAAATATTTTTTAAAAAGCCACGCCTTGTTGGTCCTTGAAAAAAATATTTTTTAAAAAATCCACGCCTTCCTGGTCTTTGAAAAAATATTTCTTAAAAAATCCACGCCTTCTTGGTCTTTGAAAAAATATTTCTTAAAAAATCCACACTTTGATGGTCCTTGAAATAATATTTCTTAAAAAATCCACGCCTTCTTGGTCTTTGAAAAAATATTTCTTAAAAAATCCACGGCTTGTTGGTCCTTGAAAAAAATATTTCTTAAAAAATCCACGGTTTGTTGGTCCTTGAAAAAATATTTCTTAAAGAATCCACGGCTTGTTAGTCCTTGAAAAAATATTTCTTAAAAATCCTTGCCTTGTTGGTCCTTAAAAAAATATTTCTTAAAAAATCCTTGCCCTGTTGGTCCTTAAAAAAATATTTCTTAAAAAATCCTTGCCTTGTTGGTCCTTAAAAAAATATTTCTTTAAAAATCCACGCCTTGTTGGTCCTTAAAAAAATATTTCTTTAAAAATCCACGCCTTGTTGACCCTTGAAAAAAATATTTTTTAAAAAATCCACGCCTTGTTGACCCTTGAAAAAAATATTTTTTAAAAAATCCACGCCTTGTTGACCCTTGAAAAAAATATTTTTTAAAAAATCCACGCCTTGTTGACCCTTGAAAAAAATATTTTTTAAAAAATCCACGCCTTCTTGGTCCTTCAAAAAACTATTCTTAAAAAATCCACTCCTTGGTGGTAGTTAAAAAAATATTTATTGTTAAAAAAATGGTTGTTGAAAAAATATTTTTTAAAAAATCCAAAAATTTTTAAAAAATATTTCTTAAAAAATCCTTGCCTTGTTGGTCCTTAAAAAAATATTTCTTAAAAAATTCCACTCTTTGGAGATCCTTGAAATAATAATTTCTTAAAAAAGCCACGCCTTGGTTTTTGATTTCTGTGGTCCAGTAATAGTAGGTTTTACTGTAGGAACCTTATGTAGGTTTTTTGCTATCAGCTTCTCCATGTCTCTGGGGAGTCCCTTGCTTATATTAGGCCATCTGACCCAGTTCATAGCAAAAATATATGTTCCAATTTTGTTTTTAATGTCAGTCTAAGTTGATACTTCCTGGGAGACCCATGCGTAGCGCTCAAATCTCTCTATTCATCCATATCTAACAAAGGACGAAGATGAAAAACAAAACTATTCAGCTTCTGCTATGGACACTTATTACAATGGTAACCAAAGGCTGTGGTAAGTTCTAGCCCTAGTAACCAGGTCCCCGACCAAACAAAAAAATAATTTTTCCGATTTTTGTTTTTTTTTTTTTTAGCCAAAACTGGCTTTGGACCCGGTGAACAGGATTGGGGTTATGTTGATATACGACCCGGTGCCCATATGTTCTATTGGCTGTACTACACCACATCTGCTGAGGTGGCCAATTACACAGAACGCCCCCTGGCAATATGGCTGCAAGGAGGTCCCGGCCTCTCATCAACTGGTATGGGCAATTTCGAGCAGTTGGGCCCCATCGATAGGCATGGCAACGAACGCAACTGGACTTGGGTTAAGCAAATGAATGTATTATTCATTGATAGTCCATTGGGTAGTGGATTCTCATATGTCGACAATGTGATACTGCTGCCATCGACAAATAATGAAATTGCTTTAGATTTGCTGGCTTTCCTGAAGAAGTTCTATGAGTTGCATCGCGAATTCGAAGATGTCCAATTGCATATTTTTTCACAAAGTTATGGTGGTAAAATGGCTCCAGAATTTGCCTTGGAATTGTATAAGGCTGTGAAGCGAGGAGAAGTGAAAAGCGATTTGAAATCAGTGGCTATTGGTGGTCCATGGACATCGCCCATTGATTCGATTTTAGCTAGGGCGCCACTGCTGTTTCATTTGGTAAGAATAGGAATAGGATATGCTATATGCCTATGGTAACCCTTGTGAAAGGTTGCCATAGGCAGAAAAAATACCTTTGAAAGATCTTTCATAGATAAAGTTCTTCGTAGGACCTGACTATATAAATAGAATCTTTCTTCTATAAATAGAAGACCTTCTAGAGGCTTTCTAAAGCTTTTTTTTAACAGGAAAATTTCCCAGTTCATTGAGAGGTTTTCTAATATTAGAGGAACTAACAAACGTCCTCTAAATGCTATATTACACATATTGTTAGAGTCATATGCAAAGTGAATTTTTCCAAAAAAAAATTGAGGCCTCCTTAAAGTATGCTACAAAAATGCTACAGATAATTGTGGAAAAAGTCACTTAACATATGACTCTAACATAATGAGTAAACGGGGCTTTAGTGAACGAGAACTTTGAAAGAAATTTTAAAAATATAAAATTCCTTTTTAAGGTTTTGTTCTCTTAGAGGATGTTTATTAGGTCCTCTAATCATAGAAAACCTTTGGAAGACCTTTGGGAGATTTGTCCTTCTATATTTCTTTATTAATAGACGATCCTAAGTTTTGCCATGGATAACATTTTTTCTGAAGGAAAAACCCTTCGGTAGTCCTCTTAAAATTCTCTCTCTTTCAGGGTTTAGTGGATCGCCAGGGGCATGACAAAATAACGGAATTGGCCCACAAGACCTTGCATTTAATTGAGCAGGAAAAATGGCTTGAAGCCGACGAAGTAGAAACGAATCAGACCACTTTGATAGGAGAAGAAACCCATGATGTGGATTTTTATAATATTTTGAAATATTACGAAGATACTGGTGAGCATATTACATATTAGAAATTATTCCGATTATCCTTCTTCTTCTCTTTTATTCTTCCTTTTTTGCAGATGATGAAGAAACACTGGAAGATTTTATGCGTGGACGAGTTGGCCAGGCATTGGGTATACCAGAACACGTCAAATGGGAAGTGATTAAAGATGATTTAGTTGAGGCTCTCAGAGAGGATTCCCTGAAACCAGCCACTCACATTGGTAAGTCGAGAGAGGGAGAGAGAGAAACGCTCTTATTTCCTTTTTTACTCCCCTTTGCAGTGGAAGAACTTCTAAATAAAACCAATGTAAAAGTCAGCATTTTCGCAGGCCAATTGGATGTGGTTTGTGCCTCTCCAGGCACGGTCAATTGGATTGACAAATTACGTTGGCTCTATCGTGATGAATATTTTCGAGCCCCTCGACAGGCCATTAACATTGAGGGAAATATAGAAGGCTATGAAAAAAGTGGCGGCAATTTTACTCTGTTTTGGGTAAATCTTGCTGGGCATGTTGTTCCTGTTGACAATCCTGTGGCTATGAATTATATATTGAAGAAATGTACGGGACTGGATAATGAATAAAGGAGAGAGAATTTCAAGATAAAAATTTAACATTTTTTTTGGGGAAATTGCGTTCTTGGAACTATAGCAAGAGAAAATATAAATATCCGCCGTCAGAGTATAGGAGATATAGTAAAGCTCTTTTGTTGATAGAAGGTCCTGTGAAGATCTTCCATATACCGAATTGAGTTAAAATGACTCTTGTGGACAGGAAAAGTTTTGAGAGCATTCTATTGCCAAAATTTCCCTTAAAAGGTCATCTATACCCAGAAGTTCTTTAAAAATTTTTCTATAGATTGAAGCCTTTTGAAAGGTCTTCTCTATAGAGAAAGTCTTGGAAAGGAGCTTGAAGCCTTCTATAGACAAAAATATTTCTAAAGACAGATGAACTTATCAAGGTCTAAGATCTAAGGCCTAAATGTCTTCTAAACATGGAAGGTCCTTCGATGGTCTTCTATTGATGAAATATTTGTCAAATGTCTTCTATAGACAGGAGATCTTTCACAGGACCTCTGACGTCTACTGGAGGAAGATCTTCAATAAGTCTTTTACAGATAGAGGCCAGAAGCCAGCCCACAATAGACAGAACGCCTTTTAAATGTCTTCCATAGACATATCACCTTTGGAATATATTCTATAAACAGAAGATCTTTAAAAGGCCTTCAATAACCGGAAGGACTTTGAAAAATATTCTATAGGACTAACTTCGGAAGGTCATCCATAGATTGAATAAATTTTATGGATATGTTATCCTTGAAGAAATAAAAATTAAAAATCCACGAGGCTGATGGTCCTTAAAAAGAATTAAAAATTCACCTGGCTAAAGGCCCTTGAATTTTTTTTAAATCCACCTTTACGGGTCAGTTGAAAAAAAATTAAAGAATCAGGCTGGATCTTTTCTTTAAGACCCTTGATCCTTGAAAAACCTGCTTTAAAAATCCACGTTTATTGGTCAGCAGGATCTTTTCTTTAAGATCCTTGATCCTTGAAAAAAATTGGTCAGCAGGATCTTTTCTTTAAGATCCTTGATCGTTGAAAAAAATGCTTTAAAAATCCACTTTTATTGGTCTGCAGGATCTTTTCTTCAAGATCCTTGATCCTGGAAAAAATTGGTCAGCTGGATCTTTTCTTTAAGACCCTTGATCGTTGAAAAATATGTTTTAAAAATCCACGTTTATTGGTCTGCAGGATCTTTTCTTCAAGATCCTTGAAAAAAATGCTTTAAAATCCACGTTTATTTTTAGAAGGATCTTTTCCTTAAGATCCTTGATTCTGGATAAAAATCCTTAAAAAATCCACGTTTATTGGTCAGCAGAATCTTTTCTTTAAGATCATTGATCCTTGAAAAACATGCTTTAAAAATCCACGTTTATTTGTGGAAGTATCTTTCCTTTAAGATCCTTGATCCTTGATTTTTTTTTAAATCCACGTTTATTTGTCAGTAGAATCTTTTCTTTAAGATCCTTGAAAAAAATATTTGAAAGATCCACGATTATTGGTCAGAAGGATCTTGAAGAAATATGATCCTTGAAAAAAACATATTTAAAAGATCCACGTTTATTAGTCAGGAGGATCTTGAAGAACAGATGATCCTTGATTTTTTTTTAAGTATTCGTTTATTGACCTTTTGGTCCTGGAAAAAATATTTTTTTGGTCCTTGAAAAAATATTTTTTTTTTAAATACACGATTATCGGCAATTATTGGTTTTTTGGTCCTTGAAAAAATATTTTTTTTAAAATACACGATTATCGGCCATTTAGTGGTCTTTTGGTCCTTGAAAAAATATTTTTTTTTAAAATCCACGATTATCGTAATTTTAGTGGTATTTTGGTCCTTGAAAAAATATTTTTTTTTAAATCCACGATTATCGGCCATTTAGTGGTCTTTTGGTCCTTGAAAAAATATTTTTTTTAAAAATCCACTATTATCGGCCATTTAGTGGTCTTTTGGTCCTTGGAAAAAATATTCTTTAAAAAATCCACGTTTATTTGGTCCTTGGAAAAAATATTCTTTAAAAAATCCACGTTTATTTGGTCCTTAGAAAAAATATTATTTAAAAATCCACGTTTATTTGGTCCTTGGAAAAAATATTCTTTAAAAAATCCACGTTTATTTGGTCCTTGGAAAAAATATTCTTTAAAAAATCCACGTTTATTTGGTCCTTAGAAAAAATATTATTTAAAAATCCACGTTTATTTGGTCCTTGGAAAAAATATTCTTTAAAAAATCCACGTTTATTTGGTCCTTGGAAAAAATATTCTTTAAAAAATCCACGTTTATTTGGTCCTTGGAAAAAATATTCTTTAAAAAATCCACGTTTATTTGGTCCTTGGAAAAAATATTCTTTAAAAAATCCACGTTTATTTGGTCCTTGGAAAAAATATTCTTTAAAAAATCCACGTTTATTTGGTCCTTGGAAAAAATATTCTTTAAAAAATCCACGTTTATTTGGTCCTTGGAAAAAATATTCTTTAAAAAATCCACGTTTATTTGGTCCTTGGAAAAAATATTCTTTAAAAAATCCACGTTTATTTGGTCCTTGGAAAAAATATTCTTTAAAAAATCCACGTTTATTTGGTCCTTAGAAAAAATATTATTTAAAAATCCACGTTTATTTGGTCCTTGGAAAAAATATTCTTTAAAAAATCCACGTTTATTTGGTCCTTGGAAAAAATATTCTTTAAAAAATCCACGTTTATTTGGTCCTTAGAAAAAATATTATTTAAAAATCCACGTTTATTTGGTCCTTGGAAAAAATATTCTTTAAAAAATCCACGTTTATTTGGTCCTTGGAAAAAATATTATTTAAAAAATCCACGTTTATTTGGTCCTTAGAAAAAATATTATTTAAAAATCCACGTTTATTTGGTCCTTGGAAAAAATATTCTTTAAAAAATCCACGTTTATTTGGTCCTTGGAAAAAATATTCTTTAAAAAATCCACGTTTATTTGGTCCTTGGAAAAAATATTCTTTAAAAAATCCACGTTTATTTGGTCGTTGGAAAAAATATTCTTTAAAAAATCCACGTTTATTTGGTCCTTGGAAAAAATATTCTTTAAAAAATCCACGTTTATTTGGTCGTTGGAAAAAATATTCTTTAAAAAATCCACGTTTATTTGGTTCTTGAAAAAATATTTTTTAAAAAATCTACATTTATTAGTCTTTTTCTCCTTGAAAAAATATTCTTTAAAAAATCCACGTTTATTGGCTTTTTAGTCCTTGAAAAAATATTCTTTAAAAAATACACGTTTATTGGCTTTTTAGTCCTTGAAAAAATATTCTTTAAAAAATCCACGTTTATTTGGTTCTTGAAAAAATATTTTTTAAAAAATCTACATTTATTAGTCTTTTTCTCCTTGAAAAAATATTCTTTAAAAAATCCACGTTTATTGGCTTTTTAGTCCTTGAAAAAATATTCTTTAAAAAATACACGTTTATTGGCTTTTTAGTCCTTGAAAAAATATTCTTTAAAAAATCCACGTTTATTTGGTCCTTTGAAAAAATATTCTTTAAAAAATCCACGTTTATTTGGTCCTTTGAAAAAATATTCTTTAAAAAATCCACGTTTATTTGGTCCTTTGAAAAAATATTCTTTAAAAAATCCACGTTTATTTGGTCCTTTGAAAAAATATTCTTTAAAAAATCCACGTTTATTTGGTCCTTTGAAAAAATATTCTTTAAAAAATCCACGTTTATTTGGTCCTTGAAAAAATATTCTTTAAAAAATCCACGTTTATTTGATCCTTAAAAAATATTCTTTAAAAAATCCACGTTTACTTGATCCTTAAAAAATATTCTTTAAACGGTGGATTTGTTTATTTGGTCCTTGAAAAAATATTCTTTAAAAATCCAAGTTTTTTTGGCCCTTAAAATATATTCTTTATTAAATCCACGTTTGTCTTTGATCCTTGAAAAAAATATTCTATAATAAATCCAGGTTTATTTGGTCCTTGAAAAATATTCTTTAAAAAATCCATGCCACGTTTTCTCTTCCGTTACAAAAGCTCGTGATCTCCCATTCAAATACTCTCTTCACATTGACAATTTTCTCTTCTCCCTCACACACAAAACGCCAAGAACTCTTTCTCTTTCCACCACTAACGGTTGGTTGATTTCAAACACCTTTCGGAGTGTAAAAGAAGATTAGCGGGCTAAATTCAGCATAAAAATACAACAGTTGTTGTAATCATTTCGAACATGATTGGGATTGACGGCTAACAAATAAAAGTTAGGCATTCGCACTTAGACCAGCCAGAAGGCTACCAACAATCGGTGCTTTCGTTGTTCCCAACATTTAGTTCGTGTTATTATTTTGTTCGGCGGCATCCCAAGACGTGACCAGGCAACGCATCCATAATGAAGATCGTTTCGATGTTAGCGGCCGTAGTGGCTTTTGCGGCCATTACCACAGTGAGTGGTAAGTTTGTGTGTTTGTTGTTGTTGTTTTATCGTCTTTATTCGAAACGAAAGTGAAAATTATAGCACACGAAAAATGTGAGAATAAATAGAAATAAAACCACACTGGAAGTGAAGTGAATTGACAATTAGACAATAATTGGAAGTAAATAAAACGTTTGGGCGATTGGCCGTAGAAATTGATACGGATTTTGACCTAATTTAAATTTAAAAAAAAAATAAATGATTCTAAATACAGGAATTGTCAGGCTTTAGAATTGGCTTGAGAATATCAGCAAAATTGTGCGGGAATTATGGTAATTGTTTGTATATACACACACATATATCCGTACATATCAAATAATGTATGTTGCCGATACGAGTTGTAACAAGTAAAAAAACATTAAGTTCGGCCGGGCCAAACTTTTAATACCCTCCACCCTAAGGTAAAAGAACATTAGAAGAAATGTGGCAAAAAACATTAAAATGCCGAATATCGGGAGGTACCGTTATATAGGGGCTACACCAACACGTGCACCTATAATTACAATGTTTCGCCACACGAACTAGGACCCATTATGACCCACAAATACCAACTTTTACACAAATCAGTGCAAAAATGTGGCATAAATCATCAAAATACCGAATATCGGGAGGTACCGTTATATGGGGACTATACCAGAACGTGGACCTATACATGCAATGCTTTGCCACACGCTCAGGGACCCGTTGTGACCTACAAATACCAATTTTCAGACAAATCCGTGAAAAAATGTGGCATAAATCATCAAAATACCGAATATCGGTAGGTACCGTTATATGGGGGCTATACCAAAACGTGGACCTATACATGCAATGTTTTGGCACACGCTCAGAGACCCGTCATGACCTACAAATACCAATTTTCAGATAAATCCGTGAAAAAATGTGGCATAAATCATCAAAATACCGAATATCGGGAGGTACCGTTATATGGGGACTATACCAGAACGTGGACCGATATATCTCATTTTCAATACCAACCATCCTAGGGACAATACACACACTTGTGCCAAATTTCAAAGGTCTACGTCAAATAATGTGGGCTCTATCGTGATTTCAACAGACGGACAGACAGACAGACAGACAGACGGACAGACAGACAGACGGACATCGCTAAATCGTCTTAGAATTTTATGCTGATTATGAATATATATACTTTATGGGGTCTACAACGAATATTTAGAGGTGTTACAAACGGAATGACAAAGTTAATATACCCTCCTACCCATGGTGGAGGGTATAAAATGAATGTTGGGCTTATAAAGAGTTCTATGTAAGGTGACAAAATGGGCTAAAACTTATCAATTCGGTTTGTGACATTTTCCAGTAGGGCAAGGTCATTTGACTTAATACATATAAATGCAAATAATGATGGAAAATTGAAATCTGTAACAACAAGTTAAAAAGTATCAGTGGGTTTTGCCGACCGATCTATACCCTCATCCAATGTTCGACCATTTAAATATATTTTGATTTCTGTTATGATTATTGAAATTATTGACCCTCTATGGAGTGGGTTCCGAAGGTATGGGTCAATATTGTTCATTTCGTATCGGACCTGAATAAATATGATATAACTATTGCTATGTGCCAGGTTTGGACTATATGGACTACTTCTTTTACTTTATAAGAGTATGAGATATCTGATAATTTTTAGAAAATGTTGAAATGTGTGTGAGGTACCAGATATAGTGGACCGTAGTACTCAATTTTTACACTTCATCAAATATAGATAAAAATATAGGTATTGACAAAACTACAAGAAAACCGAACATTTATATCCGGATTTTATGCGAAATCATAAATTCCCTATTCACCTCAGGTTTCTGGCTGAGAGAAAGATTTGGATATAGCAAGTTGTAAAGGATCGCTGACTTGTTTCACAAGTTATGACAGATAAGAGCATAGAAAATTTGCGACCCCTTTTGACTGAGGTACCAGAAGAGGTTTGCAGATATCTATCATCTTCACAAGAACTCTTGCGTTAGCAAAAATGTGTGGATGAGTGAAATGTGAATGCTTATTTCGGCCCTTTGTGGGGAAGGTCCAGAAGGAGTGTGCCGATATATTCCATCTTCACAGCAGATCTTGTGTTAGTAGAAATAATGGGATGTGTTAAACTTTAAGTGAACCGGATGCCTATTTCGGATGTTATGTGCGTTTTGTTGTTCAAAATTTTGAACCCTTTGTGGGGGAGGTACCAGAAAAAAAATGGTCGGACCTCTACCATCTTTATAACATATCTTGTGTTGATGGAAATATTGAAAAGTGCCAAGTCTGAATGGAATCGGATTTTAATTTCGCATTTTATGAGCTTCATGTATACTCAAAATTTTGACCCTTACCGGAAGGAGTGAACCTATATATCACATATTTACATCAGATCTTGGGTTAATAAAAATATTGTGTGTGCAATTTAAAGAGAACTGGATGTTAATTTCGGATTTTATAAACGTTTTGGTTATTCAAAACTTTGACCCTTTGTGGGGGTGGTACCAAAAGGAATAGTCCGATCTATACCGCCTTTATAAAAGATCCTGTGTTGATGGAAATATTGAAATGTACCAGGTCTGAATGGAATCGGTTGTTAATTTCGCGTTTTATGAGCTTCATGGATATTCAAATTTTTAACCCTTTGTGGGGGAGGTACCAAAAGGAGTCGACCGATGTCTTTCATCTTAACACCAGATTTAAAAAAAATATTGGGATGGGTGAAATTTGAAGACAATCGGACTCTTATATCACATTTTATGAGAGTTGTAATTTTTCAAAAATTTGAATATTTGTGTGGCAGCTACTTGATGGAGTGGAGCGATATTGTCCATTTTCACACCTGACCTAGCACTGACGCAAATATTAGGATTTGCAAAGTTGGAGCAAATATTCTCTTTGAGAGTTATCATGCGCACCAGCCAAACAGGGATACGGACGGACGGACTTTGCTGCATCGACTCTAAATGTCCTGAAACGGATTTGGTCCAAACAGACCTAGGGTCTAAAACCGTTATTTCGATTAAGCATTTTTGCGGTATCAAATGATATAAACCCTTTCTAGCCATTTGGCTGAGGGTATAAAACATTCAGTTTTCCATCACTGGAAGTCCTAGAAAAGCAATTCCTTAAAAAATCAATTTTCGGTTTGAGGAAGTCCTAAAGAAAGTATTTTTAAAAAAATACACTTTTTGGTTTCTGAAAGTTTTAAAAAAAAATGTTTCAAAAAATCCTCTTTTCCATCTCTGGAATCCACCTTTCAATCCCTAGAAATCTTAGAAAAACAAATCGTAAAAAATCCACTTTTTCTTAGAAATCTACTTTTCACTACTGAAAGTCCTACAAATTTGTTTCTAAAACATCCAATTTTCCATTTCTGAAAGTCCCAGAAAAAAATCCATTTTTCAGTTTCTGAAAGTCTTCAAAATATATTTTAAAACATCCGCTTTTCCATCTCTGGATCCATGTTTCTATCTCTGTAAGTCTTAAAAAATTATTTTTAAAAAACCTACTTTTCGGTGTGGCGAAGTCCTGCAGCAAATATTCTTAGAAAATCCACTTTTCCATCTCTAGAAGTTCAAGAAATATTCTTAAAAACTCAATTTTTCGGCATGGGAAACTTCTAAAGAAAATATTTTTAGAAAATCCTTTGAATTTCTAGAATCCATGTTTCGATCTCTGGAAGTCTTAGAAATCTAATTTTCGATCTCTGATAGTCCTAAAAATGATTTCTAAAAAATTTAGTTTTCTGGAAGCCCTAAAAAATATTCTTAAAAAACTCACATTTCGGTTATCTGGAAGTTTTAGAAAAATATTTTAAAAACCGCTTTTCCATCTTTGGAAGTCCTACAAAAACTTTTTCTAAAAAATTCACTTTTTCATCTCTGGAGGTCCCATTTTGTTTGTTTGGAAAAGTCCATCTTTCTTTAAAAAATTTTTTTTCAGTCCCTGGAAATCCTAAAAAAACTATTTTAAAAAATTCATTTTTCCATCATTAAAGACTTCGATTTTTTTTTGGAAAATGTACTCTGATGCTGAATTCAAATTTATTGTTTTAAATGTTTCGAAACTGAGTCAAAATCTCATAAAAAACTTATTTTTTTCGGGAATAGTGTCAAAGGTTACAATGTTCCAAATCAAATTTCACTATGAGCCTCTGAACAAAAATAACTTTATCTATTTTCTATGATTTTTATCAAATAAGTATTGGAATTTTTATTAGAAACAAGTTAAAAAGCAGTAAGTTCGGCCGGGCCGAAATTTTAATACCCTCCACCATTTGCAACGAATTTGGAAATTTTCAAAAAATAAAATCCTTAAAAATTCTGTTAAAATTTTAAAAATACCGAATATAGCCGTTATTTTGGGGTTTATACGACGTGGACATACATAGACATTGTTTGTCATAAGCCATTACCATATTCAAATTCGAAACTTGAAATAAACGGTGAATAATGTAGCTAAAATCATCAAAATACCGAATATAGGGAGGGACCGTTATATGGGGGCTATATGAAGACGTGGACCTGCACAGACAATTTTTTGTCACAGGCTGTAGTTCCCATAACGAACTTCAAATACCAATTTTAAAACAATTCCGGTGAATAATGTCGCTAAAATCATCAAAATACCGAATATATGGAGGTACCGTTATATGGGGGCTATATGAAAACGTGGACCTACATGGCCCATTTACGAACTTAACCTGCTTACTGGAAAAATAAACATGTGTGCAAAATTTTAGCCACCTATCTCAATTCATTCGAAAGATAGCGTGATTACAACAGACAGACAGACAGACGGACAGACGGACATAGCTAAATCGACTTAGAATTTTACGCTGATCAAGAATATATATACTTTGTTGGGTCTGATATGAGTATTTCGAGGAGTTACAAACGGAATGACAAAGTTAATAGACCCCCCATAGTATGGTGGATGGTATAAAAATCCTATAGATGTTTTTTTTCACAAAATTTTGTATATAACTAAAGATTTTATATACACCGTAATATTCATTTACTTTGACGAGGACCTTGAAAATTTCAAGATGACTTTGGGACAGGGAGTCATGGATATTTTTAAATATTTTTCAAGAATTTTCCGGCTATTTTTAAATAATAAATTTTCAAAAAAAAAAAAAAAAAAAAAAAAATATATATATATATATATATATATATATATATATATTATATATATATATATATATATATATATATATATATATATATATATATATATATATATATATATATATATATATATATATATATATATATATATATATATATATATCATGATATTTTCAGAGGTGTTCTACCCTAAAAAATTATTATTTTAGGCTCTTCTGTGGAGAGAGCTCCTACATATATTATAATCCTAAGAATAGAAGCACTTTGCACTATTTCATATTAAAAGGTTCCTTTTCTTCCAACATAGAATTTTTGTCCGAATATACATTTATTGAAACCCCCGAAATCTATAAATTGAATTCTGAAATTTCTCTGCTCCTCCTTTTTGTTTATTTAAACATTTCGTAAATTAGAAACTATAAAAATTCTTGGAAATAAAAAATCGTATCTTTTCGAAAACGATTTGCCCACAATATTTTGCAAAATTTGATTTCAGCAAATTTCCACATAATAAACTTCAAATTATCTCAGCACTAGAGAGCCCCGGTAAAGCTGGTAAACATGTCACTTGAGTTGTCGCAAGTTGTGGGATTTCATTAGCTGGCTAGCTATCAAGCTAGCTAGCCCCCTCTTAAATCATAGCCATATCAAATTAATTTATTGGCCTATCCATAAAATGATTGCTACAAATCAATTTAGATTAAACTACTGTTTACCCATTCGAAGAGATATTGTTGCGGCCATCGATAATGAAAAGTTTAAAATAAAAATCTACGGCGGTCGGTCGGTCGGACGGTCGGTCACGAATTTAATGCCGATTAGATTACAATCGCAGGCGTTGGAAAGTATTGCAATAATCGGAGTGGCAAACACTATCGCTTATTACGTACACGGAACATGTGAAATTTTAGATTTGAGAGAAATTGTTAGCGAATTATCGATTCGGGTGTAATCTGCAAAATGGTTTTAATTAAAAGCTTGTATTTTTTCAGATAAGCTGATGAAAAGATGTTGAACAATATTTTGGATTAGATTATGAGTGAGATGGCGGTTTGGAAAATATTATTAATTTCTACCGCGAAGTTTAAATGGCCCTCTAAAAAGAAAAAATCTTAAAAATCGAGTCTAAGAGCTTTGTTGAAAAATATCAAAAATGAGTTTAGAGATCTCTAGATTCTTTAAAATATATTCGTAGATAATCTGAGTTATGTTGATCCTTGACAAACTATTTTTCAAAATCCAAGTCCATAACTATGTTTAAAAAACATTCTGAAAAAATCCAAATTAAGAGCTCAACTGGTCCTTGAAAAAAAAAAAATATTTAAAAATTAATTCAATTTTTTTTATCTCTGGAAGTCTGGAAAAAATATTTTCTAAAAATGCATATTTCGATCTCAGGAAGTCCTAGAAATTTTTTTTCTAAAAATCCGCTTTTTATCTCTAGATGGCCTTTTATTAAATCGCCGTTTTCCATCTCTGGAGGTTATACTAATTTAATCCTTTTTTACAAAATATACGTTTCATTACCCGGAATCCACTTTTCGATCTCTGGAGGTCATACACTTTCCCATCTATGGAAGTCATACAAATTTTATTTTTTTGTAAAATCCACTTTTGAATACCTGGAATTCACTTTTCGATCTCCGGGAAGCTATTTCTAAAAAATCCGTTTTTTCATCACTGAAAGTCCTAGAAAAAATATTTCAGTAAAAATCCACGATTCAATCTCTAGGATCGTTGTTTCAATCTTTGGAAGTCCTAGAAAAACTATTTCTATAAAGTTCACACTTCCGTCTCTGAAAGTCCTAGAAAAAATATTTAAAAAAAATCACTATTCGGTTTGGGGGACTTTTACATAAGCCATAAAAGAATCCCATCTCTGGAAGTCCTAAAAAAATATTTTTTATAAAAAATGATGTTTCAATCGCTGGAATCCACATTTCGATCTTTGAAAGTCTTAGAAAAAATATTCTTAAAAATTCCGCTTTTGGGATTGGGGAAGTCCAAGACAAAATATTTTTAAAAAAATCCACTTTTCCATCTCTGGAAGTCTCAGAAAAACTATTTCTAAAAAATACACTTTTCGATCCCTGGAGGTCCTACAATTTTTTTTTTGAAAAATCCACCTTTTGATTCCTGACAGTTCTAGAAAAACTATTTCTAAAACATCCACTTTTCCATTTCTGGAGAAAATATTCTTAAGAATATCCAATTTTCGGTGTCTGCAAATCCTAGGAAAAATATTTTTCCTCGAAAAATTATTTTTAAAAAATCCACTCTTCTATCTTTGGATGTCCTAGAATTTTTTTTGGAAAAATTTTCATTCTTAAGAAATCCACTTTTGGAATTGGGAAAGTCCAAAAGAAAATATTTTTAAAAAACCCATTTGTCCATCTCTGGAAGCCCCAGAAAAACTATTTTTAAAAATTCACTTTAACTTTTATTGAAGGTCCTTGGAAAAAATATTCTTTAAAAAATCCACGTTTATTTGGTACTTTAAAAAAATGTTCTTTAAAAAATCCACGTTTATTTGGTCCTTGGAAAAAATATTCTTTAAAAAATCCACGTTTATTTGGTACTTTAAAAAAATGTTCTTTAAAAAATCCACGTTTATTTGGTCCTTGGAAAAAATATTCTTTAAAAAATCCACGTTTATTTGGTCCTTGGAAAAAATATTCTTTAAAAAATCCACGTTTATGTGGTCCTTGGAAAAAATATTCTTTGAAAAATCCACGTTTATTTGGTCCTTGGAAAAAATATTCTTTAAAAAATCCAAGTTTATTTGGTCCTTGGAAAAAATATTCTTTAAAAAATCCACGTTTATTTGGTCCTTGGAAAAAATATTCTTTAAAAAATCCACGTTTATTTGGTCCTTGGAAAAAATATTCTTTAAAAAATCCACGTTTATTTGGTCCTTGGAAAAAATATTCTTTAAAAAATCCACGTTTATTTGGTCCTTGGAAAAAATATTCTTTAAAAAATCCACGTTTATTTGGTCCTTGGAAAAAATATTCTTTAAAAAATCCACGTTTATTTGGTCCTTGGAAAAAATATTCGTTAAAAAATCCACGTTTATTTGGTCCTTGGAAAAAATATTCTTTAAAAAATCCGCGTTTATTTGTCTTTTGGTCCTTGAAAAAATATTCTTTAAAAAATCCAAGTTTATTGGTCTTTTGGTCCTTGAAAAAATATTATTTAAAAAATAAACGTTTAATATGTGGTCCTTGAAAAAATATTATTTAAAAAATCCACGTTTATTTGGTCCTTGGAAAAAATATTCTTTAAAAAATCCACGTTTGATATTTGGTCCTTGAAAAAATACTCTTTAAAAAATCCACGTTTATTTGGTCCTTGAAAGATATATTCTTTAAAAAATCCACATTTATTTGGTCCTTGAAAAAATATTCTTTAAAAAATCCACGTCTATTTGGTCCTTGAAAGAATATTCTTCAAAAAATCCACTTTGTTTTGGCCCTTGAAATATAATTCTTTAAAAACAACCCACGTTTATTTGGTCCTTGTTCGAGCTATTTTAGTCCCTGAAAAAATATTTTTAATATTTTTTTTTTCATTTTCCAGCAAAAACTGGCTATGGTCCCGGTGAACAAGATTGGGGTTTCGTAGATGTGCGCACTGGGGCCCATATGTTCTATTGGTTGTATTACACCACGGCCAATGTGTCTGCCTACACTGAACGCCCCTTGGCCATTTGGTTGCAAGGTGGTCCTGGAGCCTCCTCCACCGGTTATGGCAATTTTGAGGAGTTGGGTCCCCTCGATTTGTACGGAGAATATCGTAACTGGACCTGGGTCAAGGATATGAATGTGCTGTTCATTGATAACCCTGTGGGTTCTGGTTTCTCTTATGTCGACAATATCTTGCAATTGACTTCCACCAACAATGCCATTGCCAAGGATTTGGTCGCATTCATGAAAGGTTTCTATGAATTGCATCCTGAATTCGAAGATGTTCCATTGCATATTTTCTGTGAAAGTTATGGTGGAAAAATGGCTCCCGAATTCGCCTTGGAATTGTACTATGCCATCCAGAGGGGAGAGCTGAAGAGCAATTTGAAATCGGTGAACTTGGGTGATCCCTGGACATCGCCAATTGATTCTGTGTTGGCTTGGGCGCCACTTTTGTTGAATATGGTAAGTAGCAGGATTCCCTTCTCCCACTCCCCTGGGAGAGCAAAGTGAACTGAGAGAGTAATTTTTGTATTTTCCAGGGCATTGTTGATCAAGATGGTTATGAGAACATTATGGTTGCTGCCAACAAAACCTTGGAATTGGTCGAAAAGGAGAAATGGACCCAAGCCACCATCCAATGGAGTAACACCCAAGGTGTCTTGTTGAGAGAATCCAAGGGTGTTGATTTCTATAATATTGAAAAGCCAACCCGTGGTGATGCCTATACTCGCATGCTGCTCAAGACCAACAACTACAAAGGTGAGGAAATCTCTCTCTCCCTCTCTTTCTCTTTTTAGAGAATTAAAGAGTATTTAATTTAAACTTTCTCTTTCTCTATTTCTCTCCTGTTTTTAGAACAAATGTACCGCACCCTGGTTAAATTCGATATTGATGAAGACCGTGACCAAATCTTGGAAAATTTAATGCGTGGTCCCGTCAGTGAGGCCTTGGGTATTCCCTCCAAGGTCAAATGGGGTTCTCAGAGTGGCAGTACTTTTTCCCGTCAAATGGGTGACTTTATGAAGCCTGTTATCCACATTGGTAAGCAGAATTTTGATGAAGATTTGGTTGGAGGTTTGTCGTATAAATTGATTAAATTGATCCTTAAATAAGGATAGGATCGAAATTAGACCCCCAGTTCAAAAATGTTGTTGAAGGTCTTTAGATCAAAAATATCCCAAAAAGACGTCAATGGATGATGACCTTTTGCGACGTCGATGCGATAAACCTTGAAAAGACTATTAAAAATAGAATATCTCCAAAGGGTCTTACATGGGAACAAGACCTTGAAAGAAAAACTTCATATAGTTTATGATTGCAGAGCTTTCAAGAGGTCTTATAATAGCGTCCCGGGTCCTTAAAAAAACTGCAACAAAGTCAAATGCCATAATTTTTATTTTTTTTTAATTTTTATGAATGAAAGCAAAAAATGTCGGAAATAGCATCAAATTTTAGAATAAGTTTAGATTTGTTCGAATTGACACAAATTATAGACTTCAAACGGCCAATGAAACCGTCACACGTTGCCCGAATGTCGCTCTGCGGCCCGGCGAAGTACCAGCTAGAGGAGATCGACACTTTGGTATTTTTTAGTGCCAACCTTGCTTTCACAAAATACTCCAGATACAATAGTCCAACGGATTGGTATCCGGAGATTTTGATGGCCATTGTGGGCTGGAAATGAAGCGAGGAACCTCATTTTGCTGCCCGAATGTTGCTCTGCGGTATTTTGGGCCATTCCCGGCGAAGTACTTGCTTGAGGTGATCGACACTTCGGTAGGTTTTAGTGCCAACCTTACTTTCCAAAATACTCCAGAAACAATAGTCCAACGGATTGGTATCCGGAGATTTTGGTGGTCATTGTGCGCTGGAAATAAATCGAGGAACCTCATTTTGTAACCATTCTTGGGTGGCGGTGGCGTGCTGAGTGTGATGGTGCTGAGTCCTGTTGGAATGTCCAAGGTCTGCGGCCAAAATGTTTGCGTGACCAAGGCTTTAATACACCCTCCAGAATATTTTCGCCATAATATTCGGCATTTATTCTGATGCCACGGTCGATTAATAGGAGCGGCTTTTATGGCGGCCTATCGGGTTTTATGGCGGCCACACCATCACCATGGCAGGCGCTTGAGTTCTGGTGGCCAAACGAAGGTGCACATTTTCAGCTGACCTCTTTGGCAAGTAAACACGATCATGTTGGTTGTTTACAAACTGCTGGACAGGACAACGAATGTTCTCTCTTCGGAGAGAACAAAATTCGGCAGTTCACCACCTTCTGCCAAGCGAAGCATCTCTTTAGCTCTTTTGAGTCTATTTTCTTTCTGTTGCGGTATAAGTTATTGCAATTTTTTTTTTGGAATTTCAATGGCTTTACCCCGAGCTCATTTTTCAATATTTGCGAATAGAATATTGCGATATGTTCAGCTCACGAGCCATTTTTCGGGCACTGCGACACGGGTTTCGATCAAGTCGCTTCTTTACTTTTCGAACCATCCCACTCCCTTGACGACAAGCTACGCTACCAGTATCACGGTAATGAGCGATGATATGAGACACAAAAGATTTGTTCACATTTAAATGCTGGAGTGCACTAACGATAGCCACTTGTGGTTTTTCAGCCAATTATAAAGAAATCTCACTATCACGCTTGAATTCCATCACGAATAACTTATTTTCTGGAAAATTCTCACCAAAATGCTTTTGTAAACAATAGCAATAAACAGCAGTCTGAAATTGGTTGCACACTGTAGATAAAATGACTCTCAAGAGATCATTTTTTATTAGCTACTCTCATTTCTCTTTTTTAAGAATTATTAGATGTATAAAACCAGGGGTGCTCAAGAAGAAATATCTGTTTTCCGTCAAATTTCTCTTTGCTTATTTAAATCAAGAACAAAACAGTGCTAAGTCATTATTTATACAAATATTTTTTATCCATTTGCTTTATAAACTATTTTGCAAACATTCGTGTTTAAAAACAATTAAATAGAACAGTAAAATATAAAGAAAAACAGAATTTTAATTTTCTCTTAAATTATCTCTTTTTTTTCTTCATGTTCTAGAACACGGTTTTGAGCACCCCTGATAAAATCCCTTTCAGCTCTTCAATCGACTCTCTCTCTCTCTCTCTCTCTCTCTTATACTATATATAAGTTATAGCAATTTTATTAACCCCGCTCTTCTCTTCTTTTCTTATCTTATCTCATATCATATCATCTCATCTCTTCTCTTCTTGTTTTTATATTCTCTTCCAGTAAATGAACTCTTGGACCACACTCCCTTGCGTGTTTCTGTTTTCTCCGGTCAATTGGATTTGATCTGTGCCACTCCCGGTACCGTCAATTGGATTGAAAAGATGCGTTGGAGTTATCGCAACGAGTATTTGAATGCACCACGTTTGGGCATCAGTGTCGATCGTGTTTTGGAAGGCTATGAAAAGACTGTCGGCAATTTCAGCATGTTCTGGATCAATCGTGCCGGTCATATGGTGCCAGCTGATAATCCAGCCGGTATGAGCCATATCTTGAAGAAAATTACACAATATGATAAAAATTAAATGTGTTTTTTTAATTGAATGTAATTAAAAAAATGAAATAAAATTCGAAAAAAATATGCAGTGTAATATTCAAAAGCTGAGGGGAAGGAAATTTCAAGAAATTTAGAAACTTATATAAATTTGACCTACTGAAACAATTTCGACGCTTATTTAGTGGGTGCAATTTTTTTGAAGAGCAATATATTCCAAAATTTTGGAGGAAACCCCTATTCCATTACCCCACAACCATTTGTATGCGAGTATTTTAAAGATTTTAGATATTTCATCGAAATTAATGCACTTTTAATTATTTAATTGTCAACAATGTTTACTCTAATTAAAAGCCGGTCATTGATTCTTTATTCAGGCTAATAATTTAAATTTTGTTTTTGTAAAAAACTGGTTCCATTCATAACAAAAATTATATTCAAATTGAGAGATAAATTATTAAAACAATAACACTTTCAATTTTCACGACATTCAGTTTTAAAATCTGCAACAATAATAAAGAGATATTTTCAAAAAATGTAAGAAATTATTTCTCTAAAATAATTATTCCCGAAATGGAGATTTTGTTTTCGACGGAAGTTTTTTTTGAAAAGTCTTCTATTCAAAAGCTGGTAGAGTTCTTGAAAGTAGCTTTGGAGACTCTATTCAGTCGTCTTTGGAAACTCCTCACCTGCCGTCTATAGAGATCCCTTATTAGCTTCCAGTCAATCGTCTATGGAGACTCCTTTTCCTCGTCTTTGGAGTCTAATTCCTTGCTGTCTATGGAATATTCTTAAAAAATCCACGGAATAATCAAAGCATGCATTATCTGTTCATCCAATACCAAATTGTATTATTTAGTACTTTTCGAGCACTTGTAGTACACATTTCCAAAACTACCTCTGTATCACAAACCCACCACAAATAGGGACCCCAATACAAAACCAACCCAATCAACTTAAACCAACTTGTTCTAAATTTAGTACAATTAAGTGCAGTTCGCACACTTGGTATACATTTCCGAAATCAACTTCATGTAATTTCCAACCTTGACTCTTATACCAAATTTCAAGACTTTAGACTTCTATGCGTTCACATAATACCAAATGTGGTACCATTTTAGAAGTTCTGTACCATTTTAGAATATTTCGTATAAGTAAAGTTCGATTTTCCAAAAACCCTTTTGCTACATCTATCCTGCACTCCATCAGTGACTCTCATTCCAAATTTCAGAATTCTAGCTCATTTCGTTAGTCCAGTGTCAAGTATTAAATTTTTAGTATTTTTCGTACCCTTTTAATATGAATATCCAAATATCCAGCCTTATCACATGTCTAGGAACAACAGAGTTGGAAAAGGTAAACCAGGGAAAACCCGGGGAACAAGATGTCCCACCATGGGGTTATATTACACAAATGTGTCCACCTACGACGAACGTCCCTTGGCCATTTGGTTCAAGGTGGTCCGGGAAACTCCTACACAGGTTATGGGAATTTGTAAATATATGCTTCAGATTATCCTTTAAAAATATTTTTGAAAAGTCCAGGTTTATAATCTGAGAGTTCTTAATTAAATATTATTTAAAATCGATGTTTTTGGTCTGTAGGTCTTTGGCTTTTTTATATCACTTTTTTTATTTTTTCATAAACTATTCTTAAACAAGAAAAAAGCTGTAATTTGGTATAAATTTGACAATTTTCAAGAAAATAAAATCCGTTAAATATCCTGTTAAAATCTTAAACATACCGAATGTAGCCGTATATTAGGGTCTATACGACGACGTGGATCTGGATAGGCAACTTTTGTCACAAGCTATTGCAATTTTCAAATGCGATAAAATAGCTAAAATCATCAAAAAAGGGAGGTACCAAGGGGATTATAAAAAGTGGATCTGCACAGACAATTTTCTGGCAAAGGCTGTAGTATCCATTACGAACTTCAAATGCGAAATTTGAAGCAATTCCGGTAAACAATGAACCTAAAATCATCAAAATACCGAATATCGGGGGTTCCGTTATATGGGGGCTATACAAAGACGTGGACCTGCACAGACAATTTTCCTTTATAGGCTGTAGTATTCATTACGAACTTCAAATACCAAATTTGAAATAGTTCCCGTATATAATGGGGTTAAAATCATCAAAATACCGAATATCGGGAGGTACCGTTATATGGGGGCTATACGAAGACGTGGACCTACATGACCTATTTTCTGTTTTATGCTGTAGTATCTATTCCGAACTTCAAATTCCAAAATTGAAAGAATTCCGGTAAATAATGTCGTTAAAATCATCAAAATACCCCATATCGGGAGGTACCGTTATATGGGGGCTTTACGAAGACGTGGACCTACATGGCCCATTTTCAATACCAAAAGTCCTGCAGACATAATACACATTTGAGTAAAATTTTATCAACCTACTTCATTTCGTTCGGAAGCTAGAGTGATTTCCACAGACGGACGGACGGACATCGCTAAATCGACATAGAATTTTACGCTGATCAAGAATTTATATACTTTGTGGGGTCTAAAATGTATGTTTCGAGGAGTTACAAACGGAATGACAAACTTAATATACCCTCCATACTATGGCGGAGGGTATAAAAATCGACATTTATTATACCCTCCACCTTGGAAAGGAGGGTATACTAACTTTGTCATTTCGTTTGTAGCATACTTAAATATTCGTCGTAGACCCCATAAAGTATATATATTCATAATCATCATAAAATTATTTGACGTAGAGCTCCAAAATTTAGCAGAGCAATTGGTATTGTGTCTAGGATGGTTGGTATTGAAAATGAGATATATCGGTCCACGTTCTGGTATAGTCCCCATATAACGGTACCTCCCGATATTCGGTATTTTGATGATTTATGCCACATTTTTTCACGGATTTGTCTGAAAATTGGTATTTTTAGGTCATAACGGATCCCTGTACGTGTGGCAAAACTTTGCATGTATTGGTCCACGTTTTGGTATAGCCCCCATATAATGGTATCTCCTGATATTCGATATTTTGACTATTTTTGCCACATTTTTTTAACGGATTTGTCTAAAAATTGGTATTTGTTAGTCATAATAGGTTCCAGCTCCGGTGGCGAAACATTGCATGTATGGGTCCATGATTTGGTATAGCCCCCATATAACGGTACCTCCCGATATTCGGTATTTTGATGGTTTTTGCTACATTTTTTTACTGATTTGTCTAAAAATTGGTATTTGTGAGTCATAATGGGTCCTAGTTCGTGTGACGAAACATTGTATGTATAGGTCCACGTTTTGGTATAGCCACCATATAACGGTACCTCCCGATATTCGGTAATTTGATGATTTTTGCCACATTTTTTTCACGTATTTGTCTGAAACTTGGTATTTGTAGATCATAATGGGTTCTAGCTCCGTTGGCGGAACCTTGCATTTGTAGGTCCACGATTTGGTATAGCCCCCATATAACGATACCTGCCGATATTCGGCATTTTAATGGTTTTTGCCACATTTCTTCAAATGCTTCCTTTACCTTAAGGTGGAGGGTATTAAAGTTTGGCCCGGCCGAACTTAATGTTTTTTTTTTTACTTGTTTTTCAGTCAGTTGGTCCTTGAAATAAAAATACTCTTACCATACCTCAATCGTAGACACCAACAGTTATCGCAATATTAAATTTCACAGTTTAAGCTCTATCCCTTAACTCAATACCAAATTTAGTACCATTTAGTACATTTCAAACATATATAGTACATCTTTCCAAAACTACCTCCATATCTCAATTGCAGATACTAACAGAGACCTCAATATAAAATTTTGGGATTCCAGTTCTATCCCTTCATCCAATACCAAATTTAGTACCATTTAGTATTTTTTGTACAAATATAGAACGCATTTTCAAAACCACCGCCAAACCGTTACTAATCTGAATATAAAGTTTCTCTAACCCTTCACCCAAAACCCAAAGTAAAATTTGGTACTTTTCGTACAATTATGGTACACATTTCCGAAATCACCTTTACATGTCCAGGCTACACATAGACAGCGAACCAATACTAAATTTCAGATTTCATGCATTATGTGTTCATCTGATATCAAATAGTAGTATTTAGTACTTTTCGTGCATTTGTAGTACACATTTCCAAAACTACCTCTGTATCACAAACCTACCACTAATAGGGACCCCAATACAAATTTTCCAATATTTGAAATTACAGTTCAATTTAGTACAATTAAGTACAGTTCGCACACTTAGAATATATTTCCAAAACCACTTCCATATATCAAACATAATTTCCAACCTTGACTCTTATACCAAATGTTAAAATTTTAGTTCTATCCGTTCACATAATACCAAATGTGGTACCATTTTAGAAGTTTAGTACCATTTTAGAATATTTCGTATGAATAAAGTTCGATTTTCCAAAAACCCTTTACTACATCTATCCTGCACTCCATCAGTGACTCTCATTCCAAATTTCAGAATTTTAACTCATTTCGTTTGTCCAGTATCAAGTATTAAATTTTTAGTACTTTTCGTTTAGTATGAATATCCAAAAATCCACAGATATCACATATCTACGTACCAAAAGTGACCCATATGCAAACATTCAAGATTTCAGAAGCTTCAGATTCGTTTCGTCTGAGCCTTGATTCTAGGTCAGTCAGTCAGTTATTTCAATACTAATTTACTCTTTTATATGTATATGTATAGACCTGGTTCTCCCTTTGGTTTAAAAATGCTACCTGCTTCGAAGGTTATCGTACGTACCAGTCAGCACAACTGACGGACATTGCTAGTCCGACTCTATATTTGTTGAAACCGATTTCAGCTAAAGAGACAACACTTGAAAAACCGTTTTTTCTGTAAAGCACATTTTGGTCGCATCTAATGAAATATTACCCCTGGACGCAAAAGACTAAGGATATTTAGATAAAGTTTGTTAAATAATTTGAATAGCCGAAGTATCCCAACCAATGTTATACCTTACAACCCCATATCTCTATTTTATACCACGAAATGTGTTCATAAGGTTGAACTCTTTGAGGCCTTTAGGAAATATTTATTTTCGCAACTGCTTAAAGTTTTAAAAAT